AAGATGCTTCCTGATACACAATTCTAGGATCACTTTAGCACTTGAATTCTCATAAAAGGTACAGTGAAAACTATACTGAACAATTTCTTTAACTCGTTAATTGCAGTTTTTGAGAAGATACAGTAACCTTTTTAAAATTCCTTCACAAAAGCAAGATTATGACATTAAATGGTCACTGGTAAAGGCACTTCTGTAGGCTGCTAATTTGGTTCAGCTAAGTAGCTCCCTGGAGATGTAATTTTAAATATAATACTAGTAAAGCATAGAGAAACTAAATTAATGTAAGGCTACTTGTCCCTTAGCCTTTGCTGTTCAGACATACTATCTCAACCTCATTTTTGGCAGGGCCAGAGTGACCACTGCTTAACGACCTTTGTAGTCTGGGGTCTAGGATAGCTCCATCGTTTTTATACTGGAGGTTCCCAACCCTGGCATGCATAGGGATTGTAAAGGATGCTTATTTAAAGTGCATGTTCCAGGACCTCCCCACAAGAGATTCTGAGTTAGTCCATGTGGAATAGGGCTCAGAAATCTGATGTTAACCAAACACTCCAAGTGACCTTGAGGCAGGTGGTCCTCAGGTTGCACATAGAGACCCTGCTGGAGGGCATATGAGTCAGTGCAAAGTTGTGAAAAACTGAGGAGTGTTACTTGTGTTTTTGCTTCTGAGTGGAGCAGAGGGTTCCCTATGGCTACACCAAAATATTTCTCAGAAATAACTTTTCATCTGCTTAAGTGTTTGGGCAAATTCTAAGACTCCAGAAACCAGGGGGAAACTTTTTTTTTTGCTTTAAAATTTATGGTCAGTGTCTTAGTTCATGCCACATAACAAAATACCACAGACCGAGTGGCTTAAAAGACAGATGTTTATTTTCTCTCAGTTCTTGGAAGGTGGAAATCTGAGATCAGGATGCCAGTGTGTTTGATTTCTGGTGAGGGCTCTTTTTCTGCCTTGCAGATGGCCACTTTCTGGATGTATCCTCATGTAAGAGGTGGGCGGGTGGGAAGGAGCAAGCTCTCTAGTGTCTCTTCTTACGAGGTCACTAATCCCATCATGAGGGCCCTACCTTCATGATCTCATCTGAACCTAATAATCTCCCTCCCAAAGGCCCCATCGCCAAATATCACACTGCGGCTTAGGGCTTCAACATATAAATTTTGTGAGGACAAAATTCAGTCCGTGGCAGTCAGATATTACTAGCCATCCATGTTAGCCACACAGGAACTTAAACACAGCCCTTGTAGATCATCTGATTTTAGATCAGTGGTGCTCCAATGCTCTGACCAGAAAGAAGTCCCTGCAGACTGTACTCTCGCAGTGCTGAATGAGTTGACCCATTGGATGGGGATCTGAAGTAGGAAAATTCTTGGCAAAATGATTTTAGTGCCGGCATTACTAGAGTTAAGCATTCTCGTCCATTCACCCTCATTCCTTCCTTATTTCTCCTACTAGAAAAGATGAATTGTCAAGACCAGCCGAGATTGGGGCCATGTTTATGCACCGTGAATGATGTGAATGTTGACTCACACCATTCCGTCAGTCCAGATTAATGAAATTTATCTTAGTACAACAAGGATAGTTTAAAAAAAAAAAAAAGACACTTTTGTGGATTCACCATGAAGATAAGTAGCATTAAGTCAGCTCTTTTATTTTGAAATAGCAGTATAATTTATTCTAATTGAGATATCGGACTTCACACTTAACTCAGTGTTAGAATATTTTAAAGACAAAATAAAAATTACTCATATACTTTGTGTTGTATGGTACTAAAATCACACATTTCAGTTCAAATATACAATATGGAGGTATAGGTTCTAAAAGAAGAAATATTAAGAAAAGCTTAAAAATACTAAGAAACACAAATAAAAATTCATGAAAGAATCATTTCCTAGTATTCTCAAACTAGTCTCTTTTGGGGTAAATGTTGTAGGTAGCAATTATTAAATTAAAAAAGCCCTTCCACCAAGATGTGACACTTAAGAGTTTATTTCCCAAAGATAACCTTCTGAGTATAAATTGAGATTCTGCTGATATATACTTTGCATATATATTCTCTTTTATATATAATCTTTTATACAATATGGAAATTTTAGCCATTTGAAGAGTATCAGTTCATAGCTTAATAGTAAAAACCTTAACCCAATGAAGTCAATACCATTAATAGTAATAAAATGTACTCATTTATTACAATAATATTTACAAGATTTGTTTAAAATCCTTGTCACATAGAATTTGGTCTTGAAACAAAGTTCTCTTCTGTGCAGTTCAGTCAGTGCTATTTCCCAGTTCTTTTCCACCTAAAAATCATCGTCATACCGACACACACAAAACACACGCAAACCTCTACCCAGCCTTGCACTCCCCTCGTCTCCCACTCGCACCACACCCATACGCCCCACTCCACACCCTCCCTCACACATCACACACTGCTCTTAACAGCCAAGTATATGACATTTATTTAGCTTCAGAAAGATGATAATGTAATGGCTGCCAGTAAGTACCTGCACTTTAACACTTTTGTCAACTAAGGGATTAAAAGAAATAAAAATGTAAAACATTATAATAAAAATATTCAGACTGTGGTTAAAACTATTGAAAATGTGCAAGAGGGTATAAGTGAAAAGTAAAAGTCCCCTTTCCCCTGTGGCTCCTCAGTACCAGTCCTCAGAGCCCCAGGCAAATAAGCTTTTCCCGTCTGGGGGTAGTGGCTCACGCCTGTAATCCTAGCACTCTGGGAGGCCGAGGGGGGAGGATCTCTCAAGGTCAGGAGTTTGAAACCAGCCTGAGCAAGAGCGAGACCTTGTCTCTACCAAAAATAGAAAGAAATTAATTGGCCAACTAAAAATATATATAGAAAAATTAGCCAGGCATGGTGGTACATGCCTTTTAGTCTCAGCTACTCAGGAGGCTGAGGCAGTAGGATCGCTTGAGCCCAGGAGTCTGAGGTTGCTGTGAGTTAGGCTGATGCCACAGCACTCTAGCCTGGGCAACAGAGGGAGACTCTGTCTCAAAAAAAGAAAGCTTTTTGTGTTCATTTTGAGAAATTGCTATAAATACATGTATGTATATAAAATGAATATGTTTATTTGATTTTTGGAAGTTGATGACCTGACACTAGTTGAGCAGTTAGAATTGGGTGCCAGTCACAGCACTCTCTGGCCTTGGATAAATAAACAATCCTCTCTGGGGATCTCTTTAGTGTCCTTTCCTCTGTAGACTGAGGTTTGCCTGGCCACGTTTGCTTCAGTCTCTATCTGGGAAACCTTCTGCCAGTGGCTTCTGTGCCCATTTTTGGGTTGGAGCCCTCTGAGCTGAGAACGGAGTGGGGACTGGTAACCGCCTCTGATTCCTCCTGCCGGAGAAGCTTCCCAATTTCATTGTCTACCTCAGGCCCCCAGGGAGGCCAGTGTCCTCTAGTTACTTTTCAACTCCTGACTCTATGAATACAATTTTTTTTAATGGTAAGAGGTACTTGATCATAACTCACTGCAACCTCAAACTCCTGGGCTCTGCCTCAGCCTCCAGAGTAGCTACAGGCAGCCACTACCATGCCCAGCTAAATTTTCTATTTTGTGTAGAGATGGGGTCTTGCTCTTGGTCGGGCTGGTCTTTAACTGCTGGCCTCAAGCTTTTGATCCTCCCACTTCACACACCCAAAGTGCTAAGATTATAGGCGTGAGCCACTGAGCCCTGCCTAATCATTCACTTTTAACTTTGACTTATTTGCTTCAAAAGTCAGTAGTGTGAAAAAAGCTTTATCTGGTATATTTTGGTACAACTCATCACCACCACCCCCAATCACAGATTTTAAAAAGGAGGCTATCTTGAATGTACAAGGTAAAAGTAATGAGGCAGATTTGTACATTTGTGCAATATTTCAGCCACTGAAATGTTGTACAGCTCATTGAAATATTATAGATAGTCATAATGTTTGTTTATTTAGCATTGTTTTTCAGAGGCTCAGAATTTCTGGAAAAACTTTATTCACGAGCTCATGAGGAAAATCTAGAGAACTTTATAAATTTCCATTTTACAGCTAGGGTGAGGAAGCACAAGGAAATGAAATTATTTACCCAACATCAAAGAAATTAGGATGGGAACTCAAATCACTGCACACATCAGTTAATGATATGACTTTTATAATGCAGCTAAATCTCAACTAATGTGGTTGGTGTTAGGATTTCAGTGAGCATTCATCTGGATATACAATTAATGCCCAGTTGCTTTATTCACAAAATAATGCTAGTGATTTTTAAACCATAAATCAAACCATATCCTTTTAGTTCAAAGAGGCAAATATATAATGTTGGTAATTAAAGAATTCTTATTACAAAGGCACAGTTATTTTCAATAAAATAAATCTAGGTTGATGCTCAAATTTTATAATTGCTAAATCTTGTCTGTCTTTTAAAAGATGAATCCTGTAAATTGGAGGGCAGATACCCTTAAGAGAAAAAGATAATAAAACTAAGATCCTGCAAGACGATACTTGGCCTAAATACTGGGGTGTTTTGTTGTTGTCAATGATTTTATTTAGTTAAAAGTATTCAATGACTTGAGTGGACTGTGCTGGCCTAATTCTTTAAAATATTAGCTTCTTTTAGCCTTTAAGCCTAGTGTTTTGGTGCCAAGCACCTGCCAGACACTATTGCCAAGACTTTTAAGAGCAGGAGTAAGGTTATTGCCATAAGATGAGTCCCATCTTTACCAGGGTCACAAGGGAGGCTTGGATGTGTGGAGATTGTTTTTATTATTATTCCATCTGAATGCCATTTTCTAGAGGACAGGATCTCCTGTTCCCAACGAGCGGCTTCTCTCTGGGATAAAGCAGCCCATGTTGGACACAGGTGTCAATTTCAGGGGCGTCCTTAGCAACCGCCTCATTAGCAACTGAGCCGGCCTCCCGCCGGCCACAGGTCTGCAGAAAGGGCCCCCTGTGTGTGGGAGGAAGCAATATACCCTAATATTCTACAGTCGCTTTATCGTTGCTGCTGATTAGGTCCATGGACGGAAGCCCATCCCTGAGGCGCATGACGGTGATGCGGGAGAAGGGCCGGCGCCAGGCCGTGCGGGGCCCGGCCTTCATGTTCAATGACCGGGGCACCAGCCTCACGGCCGAGGAGGAGCGCTTCCTCGACGCCGCCGAGTACGGCAACATCCCGGTGGTGCGCAAGATGCTGGAGGAGTCCAAGACGCTGAACGTCAACTGCGTGGACTACATGGGCCAGAACGCGCTGCAGCTGGCCGTGGGCAACGAGCACCTGGAGGTGACCGAGCTGCTGCTCAAGAAGGAGAACCTGGCGCGCATCGGCGACGCCCTGCTGCTCGCCATCAGCAAGGGCTACGTGCGCATCGTGGAGGCCATCCTCAACCACCCCGGCTTCGCGGCCAGCAAGCGCCTGACCCTGAGCCCCTGCGAGCAGGAGCTGCAGGACGACGACTTCTACGCCTACGACGAGGACGGCACGCGCTTCTCGCCCGACATCACCCCCATCATCCTGGCGGCGCACTGCCAGAAGTACGAGGTGGTGCACATGCTGCTGATGAAGGGCGCCAGGATCGAGCGGCCGCACGACTACTTCTGCAAGTGCGGGGACTGCACGGAGAAGCAGAGACACGACTCCTTCAGCCACTCGCGCTCGAGGATCAACGCCTACAAGGGGCTGGCCAGCCCGGCGTACCTGTCTCTGTCCAGCGAGGACCCGGTGCTCACAGCCCTGGAGCTGAGCAACGAGCTGGCCAAGCTGGCCAACATAGAGAAGGAGTTCAAGGTAAGCTGTGCGCTCCACCCGGCCGCGCCGCGCGCCCACCCTCCTCGCGGCTGCTGCCTGGCCCCTGCCGTAATTTGCTCCAGAATCAGTTTTGTCTGGTGGATTTAAAATCTCGAGGCATTGGGAGCGTGGTCCAGAGCTGATCTGATGTTTTCTTTTTCCCTCTCAATGATGGTGCAGTGACAAATTCGCTTTGGGGATGTATATACAGTATTCTGGGTCAGAGAGCTGTAATTATGGTGCCACTCTATGTTCTAGGTAAGCATTAAACAAAACCGAAGACGTCTCCCCCCTTTTATTAAAAGGAGGGATTTGGTGTGACGTTCTCCCTTTCACATTCTTCCTCCTGTCTTGTAGATAGTTGTGTGGTGGCACCCAACACAGAAGTAGTAGTAGTAGGTTTCTGGTTTGTTTGTTTGTTTATTCCCCCGAGGGGATGCACCGTTCCTCACGCTACTGCAACACTGGGTCCACGGGTGGAGTGGACGGAGAAAGTTCCTCTTCTATCTCTCTGTAGGAGTATTAATTTTTAGTGCACTGTTCATTGACCCAAGCATTTGTATATCCCTTTAGAATGAAAAGTCAAAAGACCAACATAAAATACTGTGAAAGTAATTTCACTAATGTGACAAAAATTCCTCTCCTTGAATTCCACAAATATATATTCAGAGTGGTGAGCCGTAGATATCATGTCAATGCAGAGATAGAAGGACAGCAAAGTAGTTTGTTTTAATGGACTGTTTTTTCTTTTTATCCAGTGGATGTTTTTTCTGGACATCATTTCCCGTCAAACAATATTATTTATTTTTATAAAAATTATATATTAATGATAGACCATTTTTATTTTTTAATCAATTGCTACATCCTCCTGCGCATTTTGAATGGTTCTAGGCACTAAAACTGAAGCAAAGATTGTTTTGTGGTTCTGGCCAAAATCATTCAGACTCTTTTCAGCAGGTTCCTGTCTCCTGTTTTCCACCAAAGAGGATGATTGTAGAAACCAGTTTCTTGAATTATATTCCAGATGCTAAGTTAATATTTTTAGTTTAGTGTTTTAGTGTCAGATCACAGAAAGAATGATTATTCTGTCATTTACATCTTAATACAGTTTTCATACTTAAGGGAGATTCACACAAATGCAACTAGCAATGTAAGTCAGGGTAAGAAATCTTACCCTGGGGTTGCAAGAAAATGATGGGAAAGTGGTCCCTCCTCCACCCTTTCATACACACTGAATTCCCTAGATATTGGCGTCAGCCTCGCTCACAGCAACCTCAAATTCCTGGGCTCAAGCAATCCTCCTTCCTCAGCCTCCTGAGTAGCTGGGACTACAGGTGGGAGCCATTGAGGTCTAGCTAGCCATTTCCCCCCCTTTTTTTAGTAGAGATGGGGTCTTGCTCTTGCTCAGGCTGGTCTCGAACTCCTGATCTCAAGCAACTCTCTTGCTTTGGCCTCCCAGAGTGCTAGCAATATGAGTTTTTTTTTAAGATAAAATTCGGATAGAGCAAGTTGAAAACTTCAAATTCTGTTTAGAGAGAGTATAAAAGCCTTCAGGTAAAATGCTTCTAAATGTAACTTCATTATTTTGAGATAGTAATAAAAATATAATTCTAAATTTGTTTATTTGACTTTATGACTGCATGACTTCAGATGTCACACATACCTTGTTTTGATGAATTTTACTTGATATATATTGAAAGTCTGCAAAAGAGAGTCTATAAAAGGGAATATTTTCTAAGATTATATTTTAATAATTTACTAAAGATGATGATGTTTGCAATTCTATCCAGAGAAGTCATCTCAGTGAAGCAGTGGTAAGAGAATTTGTTATTCATAGTTTTCCTCTGAAGCTGGCTAAATCCATATTGGTAATGCTTAGAATCTTCTTTACTCTAACTTAAAGACTCACCTCTGATAACCTTTCAAAGGTGAGAAAATATCACAAGAGGCAAAAAGAGGCGAAAACACAACTGGGCTCTAGAGGACATCCATAAAGCTGCCAAATATCTAAGGATATGCAAAGATCATCTAAATCTCCAAGTTCTTTTTCCTGGATTATGTGGAAAGCACTCGTGTAGCATAGCCCTCACCGAGCCAAAATTAGAACAGTTGTTCAGCAGTTATGGTCTCTAAGGACTGCAAGTCTCTCTCCCCTGGCTGCGTGTGCCTTCTTTCCCCCCCTTCTTACCTGTTCTTATTATTCCTTTCTTATCTGCCTTCCTTTCACCTTTTCGCCCTCTCATCCCAGGCTCATGTCCATCTGTCAGGGCTGTAGACAGACAGAGAAAATAGTGCCTTCATAGCACTGATCCAGAGACTCTGAGCTCTGAAAGGGCAGTGAAAGTGAAACTCATTCCTGAGGCAAGCAGGTAACCTAATTTGCCCTATTCCATGATGTTCGCTGTATTCTTTCCATGGGGAGTTTAAGCTCAAAGTAGTAGCCTTGAAATGAAAAAATAGATAATGTATTCCCTAGTGGGAAAGAGGTGACTCTTTTTTCCCTCTTCAAACGCTTATCCCAATTTTATCCTATCAATGGCCTATAATATCTAGTACCTGAAATTGGCATCATGTAGGTGCTCCAGAGAAGATTCTCAGCTGTGCAGTTTCAAAAGTTTCTTAAGGAATACAGTAGGCTTGGGGCTGAAATATGAAGGTCATTACCCCAAGAGGTCAAACATTCTAGGATATAGATTTAGATAAATTAATGGAGGACAGCTCAGTGACAGGTTATTAAAGAAATATTCTGGATGTGCAAATGTTGTCTGAAGCTATTCTGAGAAACAGAATATTGGGCAGGATGGACTCTAGGTCTAATCCTCCAAATGTCAGTGGCAAGGAAGCCAGTCATTTATTAAGCCGTGAGAACACAAATTGAAATTTCCTAATTCTTAATCAAGCATGCATTTTTAAAAAAAAAAAACAAAAAACAAAAGGAAAAACCATTTGCTTTCTCTGCGCCTCAGTTTTCCTCTTCTTAAAGTAGAAAAGCACTTCTAATTTATATCACACTAGAGCTGTAAAGAAGAAAAAAATAAATATAATCCAAAAGCAAGATAACATTATATAGCAGGAAGATAGTCTAAGAGTCATCTGGTTATACAGCCCTTTCAGTTTGCAAACGAGAAGACAAAGGCTATGGCCAACATTCCATCTGCTGAGCCAAGATTTGAGTGTCTTGGCTCCCAGTCTTAGATATTATATCTAATATAATGTACCTGGTAATACTGAGGCACTTCTATGGTATTTAATGTGTACCAAGCATGTTCTAGGCATTTAATTCTCATAGTACAAATATTAGGTAGGCTTATTCTCATCAGAGAGGTTAAGTGAATTTCATAAGATCACACAGCTAGTAAGTGGTAAAAGCAGTATTTGAGCTCAGGAAGTCTGGCTTCAGATTCTATGCTTTTAACTACTGCAGTATCCTGCCTCTTTTGTTATTAGGGAAAGGGCCTAACAGAATTAAGCCTGTTTAGAATTGAATTTCAATTTTCCTCTTAAGGATAAAAAGGGATTAGGATGATGATTGAATCATATACATTAGAAGGAGTATGCAGAAACCTTTTGATAGGTGGTGGTGAAGACTGAACTTCGTTGCTCTTCGTCTGGCATGAGCAGATCCGCAGGGTTTTGAATTCCTGCTCTGTCATCTGTGCATTAGGTCCCCCTGTCAGCTTTGCGGAGGGCCGTGGTAATGGACGAGTGATACAATAAAGGCCAGTAAACAAAACTAAATTAGGAAAATTTGTTAGAAATATAGATCATACAAGTGGTCTGAGCTGTAAAGTAACCTGAGACAGGACCTCGTGGTGGAACTAACAGTCAGTGTAGACTTCAGATAGATAGTAGCTTTTGCACCTGAGGAGAGTCTGCCTTTAGCTGGAGCTCTCCGTCTTTCCCTAAGAACTCTGCATCTGTTTGAAAAATGGTATCGGTCTCCAATGATTGTAATAAAATAAATTGCCACTGTATCTAGTTCTGATTATTTTCTGTACTTGGGCAACAGACTTCTTCTAGTGGGAAATGTTTAAATTGTTAGTAAAACAAAGTGTTGTCTTTGCAACTTGTATGATTACCAACTTTTTTTTTCTTTTTTTTTTTTTTTTCTTCCTTTTTTTTTGAAACAGAGTCTCACTTTGTTGCCTAGGCTAGAGTGAGTGCCGTGCGTCAGCCTAGCTCACAGCAACCTCAAACTCCTGGGCTCAAGCAATCCTGCTGCCTCAGTCTCCCGAGTAGCTGGGACTACAGGCTGCGCCACCAGGCCCAGTTAATTTTTTTCTATATATATTAGTTGGCCAATTAATTTCTTTCTATTTATAGTAGAGACAGGGTCTCACTCTTGCTCAGTCTGGTTTTGAACTCCTAACCTTGAGCGATCTGCCCGCCTCGGCCTCCCAGAGTGCTAGGATTATAGGCGTGAGCCACCGCGCCCGGCCAACTTTTTGTTTCTTGACTGATCTTTCAGTGGATGTGGAAAAAACACACAGCTTTTTTAAAAATTGGATGATTTAAAGTTTATAATTTTAAAGGATAATGAATCATTATTTAGGTATTACCGAAGAAGTGGGTACTAAGTTTTCTTCAACGCATGGAAAGTAGTCTCTTTTATTTCTGATTAATGGAGAAATGGCCATCCTATGTTGTACCAAATCTTAAGGAACAGTCTGAACTAAAGAATAACATGAGGAAATTTCATCTACAAAATTGTTATATTAAAAGGAGAGCTTTATATGGAAACAGGCATGGATTTAATACTTCTTCTGGATGCTATAATAAAATATTTCATTAGTCTTTCAGGAATGGAAGGCAGATGGATATTTAACTGACACTCTGCATAGAAACCAGAGACTGAACATTTTATTAATTTTATCAGTTGCATGGTACCAACTTGAATGGAAACCAAAGATTGAAGTTTTATTCATTTTATCTGTTCCCTTATGTGGGGAAAAGGATTAACTGTAACTGTTCTTTATCTGAATTTCTGATATCTGAAATGGAAACTATTCTAGTCTTTAAACAGTCTCTCCTCTTCTTGTTTATTTTAGTTGGTGATGTGGTTTTGCCCATTAAAGCAAATTAATTATTTAAGGAAAAAAAATTGGAATTCTTCATGTGTTTTTTTAATGCCTGATTTTTAGAAGCCCAAAATGTCACTGTGCTGAGTATTGCGTGGTTCTATAGACACATAGAGTGTTTCAGGACATGCTGAAATGAGGAATTCTGTTCTTTTCGTGTACCAAATTAGATAACTATTAATTAAAGTTAATTTATTAAATTAAATTACTAAAATTAATATCTGGTTAACTTTCCTAATGGGCTAGAATTAGTGAAAGTCATAAAAGTAGAATTGGGGTTTCCAAAAGTGAGACATTTCCCCAAGAGATGGTTGTGGACACCTTGACTGGAACCCATTGGCTAGAAGTCAAGCTCCTCCGCTCAGAAGGTAACAGGGAAAGCTACCAGCTGCCTTCCTTATACTAGTACATGGCGCTATATAAATATGCAAGTGAAATTAAAGATTCACAGATTATTTTTAGCAAGGTGTTAGTTCCAGTGGCCTGGAAATTTTTCTCTCAGGTATTGATAGTCTGTAACCCTTGAGAATTCAATTACATATAATCAGATATTTCTCTCCTTCCAGCTCCACAGGGCGTGGTAATATGCCCTTCATACAAACTAGGAAAAAAAACCCTCTCTATCCCAGTGGGTACCTTTTGACCTCTATTATCTTCACTATAAACCCGTCATTCTCAAGCATTAACATGTATTAGAATCACCTGGAAGGTGTGTTAAAACAGAGATTACAGGGCCCTTCCTCAGTTTCCAAATCAAGACATCTGGAGTAGGGTCTAAGAATTTGCATTTCTTTTTCTTTTCTTGTTTTAGAAACAGGGTCTTACTCTGTTACCCAGGCTAGAATGTGGTAGTGGGATCATAGCTCACTATAACCTCTAACTCCTGGGCTCAAGCAATACTCCTGTCCCAGCCTCCAAAGTAGCTGGGAGTGGCTCTCCTGAGTAGGGCACTGAGCCCAGCTAATGAGAATTTGATCTCTAACACATTCCCAGGTGCTGTTGATGCTGCTGGTGTGAGGACAACTCTTTGAGAAGCAATGTCTCCAAGAAGGCAAGGGATAGTAAGCTGGACAAGTTATTTTCACTGTGAACCTAAATAACAGAGAGAAGTTTTCCAAAAGAAAATGGTATTTATTTGGGACTAGGACATTGAAATGGGACTAAGTGTGCCATTGTAAACTATTTATGTATTGAAGGACAAAGATTTTTAAAGGAAAAATGAGAAGGATTAAATAATCACTTTGAGATCATTATCCTTGGCTACAAGGATCAATAACAAGGGTGGGCAGGCAGTTGCTGGGCAGATATCCTTGCAGAAGTATTTTTTTATGTAAGGTTGTGATGGCCTTTGTGCAAGATCGCAGTTTTTTCAGAGACTTTTGTGATAGTTATTCTCAGGCATTCATGCATGAGAACCCTCACTTCATGGCCTTCCTTGGCTCTTTTTCTCAGAGGTTTTTTTTTTTTTTTTTAACACAAGTGACTCCATTTTCATTATGATACCTTTTATGTCACATAACTGATTTTCTTTGTCAAATTGCCATTTCAAAAAAATTGCCATTTTAGAAAAATTTCCACTATAGAAATGGTCTTGGATTGGCTTTAAAAGAACTATTGTTTGTACTCTTTAATCTTTTGGTCTGTCAGCATTGGCATTTATCCAACATTGCTTAATACAAACCAGTAACTTATGTGCATATAATGTTTTTAAGTAAATTTTACAAAATTTTTAATTGACATATAATTGTATGTTTATGAGGTACATACGATGTTTTGATATATGTATACAATGTGGAATGATTAAATCAAGCTACTTAACATATCTATCACCTCACTTCATGTCTTCTGTAGTGAGACATTTGAAATTTACTCTCTTAGCAATTTGGAAATATACATTATTATAACTACAGTCACCATGCTGGGAAAATAGATCTCAAAAACTTATTCCTTCTATCTAACTGAAACTTTGTACCTATTGACTAATATCTCCCCATTCCCTCCCCACCCCACCCCACCCGCCACCCCCCAGTCTCTGGTAACCACTATTCTACTCTCTACTTCTATGAGTTTGACTTTTTTAGGTTCCACATATTAGTGAGATCATGTACATACCATTTTCAGAGCTGCCTCATATGGTTGGGCTGGTTGCAGAAGGAAACCTGGCTAAGGAGGTGTGTGGGGGCAAATCTAGCTTGTACCTGACTCAACAAGCCTTGCATCCAGGTAGGGGGTGCAGCTTTCTACCCAGAAAAAGGGACACCTTTTTCCAATTCACACAAACCCTAAACGCTTTCCACTGAATGGGAGTAAATTCTTTGTATTAAACACTAAACCTCTTGTTCTTAGAATGACTATCGGAAGCTCTCCATGCAGTGCAAAGACTTTGTAGTGGGTGTGCTGGATCTCTGCCGAGACTCAGAAGAAGTAGAAGCCATTCTGAACGGAGATCTGGAATCAGCAGAGCCCCTGGAGGTGCACAGGCATAAAGCTTCACTGAGTCGTGTCAAACTTGCCATTAAGTATGAAGTAAAAAAGGTGAGTGGGCCCATTTTCATCCGGCACCATAGTAGAATAAACGTGTGGTATCGACTATGCCATAATCCCAGGACATTTTTTAAAATAAAAATAGAAGCTATTGATAAATTCTTTTTTCTTCACGACAGAGGTTAAGTGAAGAATCATAGTAAAGTTTCAAGCTAAATGTCTAGCTTCTGATCCTTTCCGCTTTTTACCCATTGTCGGACCTTGGATAAGTTATACATCTTTAAATTTCAGTTTCCTCATATAAAAAGAGGATAATATCTCTTACCCATCTCAGGGCTTTAGTGAAATTTAAATAGTTTAAGATATACAAAAGTATTCTATAACTTTTAATTATAATACAATTAATAATAATGGTATTTTTTATTCGTATGCACTTTTGTAAGGCACTGTTACATACATTCTTATGTTAATCCTTGCAGCAAGCCTATGTTACTGTTTGTTTTGCCTATAAAATACATAAGATATATGATGAGGTTTCTATTCTACAAGGAAACTGAGGTTTGTCAAGCTTAATGACACATCTTAAGTCACACAGCTATGGAGTTGGTCATGCAGGTGCCAGAAATAAAAATGATTATTTTTTACTCTGATTACTACAAAAAAAAAACCTGTTATGTGTATCTGTTTGCTAACTCATATGGGGCATTTAAGTAATTCATAAAAATTGTAGTTAAGATGTTTTACAATAATAAAAATCTTGGTTATACAAAATCTGACAGTTTATACATGTAAGATTTTTTTTTTTTGTACTTTGAGAGAAGCTGATATATCACAAAGAAGTAAGCTGTTATCAGGAATAGACCTGGTTTTAGGGACTGGTCAATCTATATACAGCCAAGTCTGCTGTCCTTCCTGCAGTGTGGCATGATTCTTAAGAAGACAGGCACTAGAGCCAGCCTGCAGGGTTTCATGTCCTGATGTCACCACACATTTCCTGTGTGACCATGGGCAAGTCATCTAACCATCTAAGCCTTGGTCTGCCCATTAGTAAAACAAGGACAATAATAGTACCTACTTATGCAGTTGTTTGAGGATTACATGAGATAATGCATGTAATTAGCACAGGGTAGTACATGGTGATTGTTTAATAAGTATTAGCTAATAACATTTCTACGTTACGAAAATTCACACTCTGAATGATGACTTTTAAGCAAGTTCAATCTTCAGTCATCAAAGGCAGTTATCATATTCCTTATACTGATTCTAGTCCTTAGTAGCAGACCATAGCCACTTTAAGCAGGAAGGAATTTAGTAAGGGATATTGGGGAAGCTCACAGAATTCTAATGAGAGGTGGAGGAAGAAGCTGATCTAATCTGTGCTTCCAGAAACCTCACCCAGAACTAGACCCAGAACTGACCTGGTAAAGGAATTTCTCTGACCCAAACAGAATAATTCTGCCTTTGCTACAGATAGCTGGTTTCTACAGATGGCACAAAGGATGCTGTGAGCCATACCTGTTATCATATGACCCCTCCCACTGGTCAAAATGCCTCTGATCAGTGGAACCGAAGCCAGTGTTTGAACTCAGTAGCAAGTAAAGATGGAGAAATCTCTCTCTCTTTCCACATATACACAAATATACACACACACACACACATACACACATTACCACAATGTAGAGAACCTCCACATGTAGTGTTCACAAGATGTTGGTCAGCTATTAATGACAAATCTCCCCTCTTAAGACAGTCAAACACGAAGATTCTCAGTAAAAATTGAAATAAAATAACTTTTCAAGGAAATTATCAGTTACAAGATAATTAAATTGGCTAGACTGCCCTCCTCTCAGAGCATTCTTTCTAGTTGAGGTTCTGCTGTATTGAGGGAAAAAGATAATTTTGAATAAGATTGATAGTAAATCATTTTTTAGAAAACCATCTGGACATATATTCACAGATCTTGCAATATGTATCTATTCTCTTTGGCATCTGAGAGGAGAGAATTGATTGCAGTTGTCACTGGTTTTTTATCATTGCTTTAAAAGTGTCATATTAGCAGAGATAGCTCATCTACAGATGTGCTTCTGTTAACCAAACTGTCTTGAAGAGTGAGTGTCTTCCTGCATGTTAATTTTAAATAAATTGGTATGTAGGATACAATGTATGAGGTGTCATTAATAATAAATTTGCTATCAGTCAACCACCAGAAAAACCCCCAAAAAAAGGTATTTAGAACTGAAAGAAGATGTAGGACTTTGTAAGCATTTCTGGTTGTGTTTGTTTTCTGCCACAAAAGGAATATTAGTTAAAGTCTTTGACTTGGAATCTTCACAAAAAATGTATATAAGAACTCTATTCTGGAATGCACAAGAAAGTCCCAATTTCTCCTTTCTTTCTTCCTCTCCCAAGGCTTCCTTCGTTTTCACTCAACACTCACCATCTCCACTCTAGCAAGCAGGAAGAATTTTACTTGTACTTACTCCTGCTGCTTCCTTTTTCTACCATCTGATTTCTAGTCCCCATGCAAAACCACCTCTTGGGTTGTAAGGATGCATGAACCCTACCCAGTGTGGCACAGAGGTAGTCTGTGGCTACATATGAGCCATTGAGATTTCAAACTAACCTTACATGTTATGGATTTCCCACCCCACCCCAACCCTGATAACATAATAAACTTATATTTATTCAAATCAACCCATAATTCCACCAAGGAAACCAATTTTATGTAATGATAGCTGTGTAGGCCCCATATGGGACTCAGGGAGTCTCTCTTCTGCCACCTGCCCAAGATCTACCACCAGCTCTGGTTCTGAGTCTATTATTGGCTTCTATTTAGGCTCAGAATTCCCAGAGCTCAGGTCTTCCCTAGGAATCAAAACATGAGTTCATCCCAGGCCTTACAGAGCTCAGTGACACTTAACCCAGAAAATGAAAATATAAAAGACCGGAATAGGAGATATGTGACCATGAATTTAATGTATGTGTTGAAAAGGACGTTCTAATATAAAAGCAGCAGAAGCAATCTCAAAACAAAAATATAAAAAATTTGACCACATACAACTTAAAACCTCTGCATCAGAAAGAACATAAACAAAAAAGTGAAGGGCAAACTGGGGCAAATGTTTTTCTCTTTGGATATTGAGAATATCAATCCTTATAATGTGGGTTGACCCACATTATTTCATAAAAAAAGAATGGAATAGAGTGGAAGATGAAATTTGATTTTCTGAGAATGGGTACAAGAAAATTAACTTTTAGGCAAAAACACTAATTTTGTCCAATTAGAATAATGGATTATTTGCCTTTGCCCCAGAGTCTTGAGTTATAATTCTGATTATATCTCTGTCCTGCTCTGCGATGTGAAGCTGAACGTAAATTCTCCTCACTTCAGTAGAAATAACAAGAGCTCTACCTACTTCATAGTGAGCTCTGCTGCCAGCGTTGGTGGTATAGTGGTGAGCATGGCTGCCTTCCATAATGAGCTCTGCCTATCATGGGAAAGTTCCTGACAAAAGATACCACAGTTGGTAGAAGATTGAATCTGGACAACTGGGCTTTCAAGAAAGAGCAGGAGAACATTTCCTGTGTTCTTCCTCCCTGCTCTCCTATTTCCTCCATGGTGGGATAAGGTGTAACTGTAGAAAATTCACATAAAATAGAGACATGTAGCAATGTAAACAGATCGAATTACCCATTGTGCATCCACTTTCCGTGCAGAAAATGTGTGTGTGTGGGGGGAGGGGGGACCCAGAATTTGAGAAATGCATTGAGAGAGTGTTAAATACTCTGCAGAGACTTTGAGTTGCAAGCACTGGCAGACACAGTCCTGACTCCTGCCCTGTGCAGCCTCTTGTCCTGGTTTATATTCAAGCACCAAGAGATAAGAGATTCTTTTGCACTTGGCAGGTTCAAAAATCCAGAAAACTTGTACAATGTAAGTTTTTGCTTTATATTTCATAATTCAATGAGCTTTTTAAAAAAGTTGCATTGTTTAGTTTTTATTCACAAGAATATTTTCTTTTAAATTATATGAATTTTGGCATTAACCCTTTGCACTCGGATGTTGAGTGTGGATAATGTCGAGTGGATAATGAGAAAAAAGCAAGTGAGTACAAAGTTAACAGTGTCATTAAAAACAAAAACAGAGTGTTTCTACCATGTTTTTACACAATAGTATTCTCATGAAGACAGTTCTTGTGAAGGCTGATTGGATCAAAAGAACAGTGTAACATGGAAGTTTAAAATTAAATTATTTTCCATAGCCTGCCTTGGTTGGTGGTTCAGTTTAAAATCTATTAGTCATCTGGTAGGGGGGAAAACAGTTTATAATGAATGCTATGGTAGTTTTGTTCCATTGAAAGATTGATATTTTCTTGTGTCAAACGTTCTCCTTTTCAATCAGAAAACCTCAAATAAGAGTATTATTTTCGTTATGACTTCAATTTGCTGGTCCACTGAAGTTGGAAAATAGCATACAAATTTTATCCAGCTGGCCATGACTGGTATGGTAACATAAGTAGATTTTTCAGAAGGTGAAACAGTTTTAAGGGATAAAGGTCACTGTCCTATTTTTAAGTCATTGAAAAGAGCAAAACTCATCTCCTAGAGGGATTAGCTTTTTTTTGCCTTCACTTGCTATTATTGTATTGGTTTTACTTTCTTTTTTTAAAAAAATGCCCCATGTATACTTGAATCAGGATTTAAATCATTGGAGGGAAATACATTTGTGTGAATTAAAAGGAATCAACAGAGTCCATGAGGTTGTATATTATAATATTATTTCAAATAAGAAAAGAGTAGAATTCGTAGTACAGGAAATATACCTGTTAAGGTGAATCTTAAAGTGTCACTAGTAAACTGCAAACACCACAATTTTGGCTAGTGTTTAACATATAGTAAGTGTTTGTCCTGTATTGTACAAGTTACATCAAGTCAAAAATTGATCAATCTATGTGTGCCATGTGAAAAGGATTGATTTTCATCAAATCTTTGAAGCTGTGCAATCTTTATATAGATGTAGTTAATGCCATAAAGCATGTCTTCACATTTAAAGATTAGTGCAAAGAGGAGGAACAGGAAAAGAGAGCTATACTGTAACACTAATTTTCTGTCCTCAAGAGTTTAAAACCTAAGAAAGACCAGTGTCTTAGTCCATTTGTGTTGCTATAACAGAACACCTGAGACCGGATAATTTATAAGAACAAAAGTTTTTTTTCTCATAGTTCTAGAAGCTGGAAATTCTAAGATCAAGGCACCAGCAGGTTTGGTTTTCTGGTGAGGGCTGTATCCTTCGGAGGAGAGAAATGCTATGTCTTCACATGGCTGAAGAGCGAGCTAGCCAACTGCTATATGAAGCCTCTTTTATGAGGGTCTCAATACTATTAACAAGGGGGCAGTCCTTATAGTCTAATCATCTCTTGAAGGCCCCACCTCATAATACCATCACATTGGCAACACCATTTTGGAAAGGACACATTCAAACCATGGCCACCAGATGCTTGCAAAAGGGAAATTTGTCCATCAATCCCATATGGACACATGCTTACCTGTTTCTTAACTTCATGGGATTTTGTGTCATACAGAAACCGTTGGTCCATAAATAAAAGTTCATAGTTGACTTCTCAAGTGGTAATTTGATTTGATGTCATTATATGCTCCTCCTGTAGCTTTGTCTGAGTGTACCATTACCTGTCCTAAATCTAGCCTGGCTGTAGTCACCAGGGATACCTTTTATTTGCATCCATCTAACTTCCCACATATGCAGATCTTCCAGATACCAAGACATTTAGGTCAACACTCAAATTAAGACTATTTTAAATTCTGATTGGGTCTCTTGACAAGCATTCGAGTTCAAGTCTCCAATTAAAAGATTTTATTTTGCACTTATTTCAGAGCTGCTGTGTGCCCCAGAACAATGACTGCTTATCACTCAATGTAACACTGATACTCCCATTTTTGTCTTCTTGTACTAATACAGTGCCTGGCTCCTAAGAGGGGCTTAAGACATTTTGATGAGTGAATGAATGAATGAGATGGACATTCAAGGACTGTAGAGGGAAGGGTGACACAGGAAGGAAATGATCCAAATACAGTACAGGGACGGAAGTGGAAGTTTGAAGAAGTTCTCAGAAAGAATCCTAAAAATCATCACATAGACCCATGAAGTCTTCAGCCTTGACTATATCCACACATTTTATCATCAGTTCAAATAAGGACTGCATTGGTTTGTGACACACTGTTTTCAAAAATCAGAACCTTGGAAAAGTCACAAAATCTTGGATTTGGAGAGAAGATCTAATGTATATTAATATTTCGCAACTAGCAGTGACTACTGAACATCAGGACCTGGGATTTTAAAAACTGAATTAAAAGGAATTTACAAGATAAAAGTAATTGTCTTAGTCAATTTAGGCTGCTACAACAAAGTACCATAGATGGGGTAGTTCATAAACAACAGAAATTTATTTCTCACAGTTCTGGAGGCTAGAAGTCTGAGATCAGGATGTCAGTATGGTTGAATTTCAGGAAAGGCTCTCCTCTGGGTTACAGACTTCTCATTGTACCCTCACATGGTGGAAAAAAGAGCCAGAGATTTCTCTGGGGTCTCTTTTATAAGAGTGCTAATCCTGTTCATGAGAGCTCCACCCTCTTGACCTGATTATCTCCCCAAAGCCCCACCTCCTAATACCATGTCAGAGAGGATTAAGATTTCAACATATGAATTCTGGAGGAACACAAACATTCAGTCCATAACAATATGCTTTTCCACATTGAGTCATTGAATGAGAAAAGGTAGCATCTTCTTTGTAGTACTTTAAGCCCCCATATACAGGAGAGAACATTCACCCATCTAACTTCATTGTTGGTTTGTCCATTAAATTTAAGGCAGAAAGTTTGTCGTTTTGATCAGGTTTGATGACTCGACTAAGTTCTTTTGTTATACATCATAGAAAATTACTTCAAGACTCTTCAAATACATAAACACTAAAGACTAAAAATTATAAATAATATGAGAGAGCATGTAATAAAGCAACAATTGTATCCCACCTAAACTACTAGTTAGTATCATTGCAAAGAATTCAGTTAAGTATTTCAAATCTAAATATCATAAATACCTTCTTACCACCCCTGTTGAATTCTCATGCACAGCTGCCAGAGTGATCATCAGTGGACTTCCTTAAGGGGGCGTTGCATGCTGGGGGCAAGAATGGGGATTTGGGGGAAAATTGTGCCTACATTGCCTACCCTGAGAGATGAGATGATTTAATTTTTTTAAATTAAAATCGCTTATAGGGGTATTGGGGAGATGTAAAAAAAAAAATGGTGATGGGAATCTAGGTAGCAGTAAGTGGAAACCTGCCCATTTCTTTGTAGGTGTGCTATTGATGAATAGCCAAATTGAGGAATTGCCTGGCATTATCAAGAATCATTAGGGTCATTAACTAGATAGAACTTGACTAAAGAGGAAGCCTTTGACAAATGGGAACCTTAGCTGCTCTGTTTGCCTCTCAGAGCAAACATTTCCAAAAATGTTTCATGGATACTTCCAACAGGTTCATTGTTATTGTTTATTCTGTTTTTTAGAAGATAGTGATACCTTGATTTTTATGTTGCTAAGAACTCCTTTAAAAAAATAAATTGGCACTTAAAGTTGATTTTTTAATGACCCTTAGTAATTACCACACTTGGACAAAGCACATGTGGCCATTCAAAAAAGGCATATCTAGCAACAAATGGGCAGGGCACCTTTTGACATAGGGATCTTTAACCTTTACGTGAGCCTGACTACAAATACATTCTGCTACCTGAATAAGGACAGGGCCTTAAAGAAATCCCAGTCCCTCTGAATGACGCAGACAGATGACTTAGCAAAATCAAATAGAAAAGAAAAATTCAATGGCCGGGCTGAAATAAGTATAATTTGCTCATTTTTCATGATTAGAACTGTAATTATTGAACTGCTGAAGATAATAAATGTTTTTATTCTTTTGACCTTTTGATAGAGGAAGCAATAAAAGAGAACAGATTACTGAAATAGGAGGGAAGCAGCATTTTATGCCAGTTCCTAGAAGCAGCATAATATCTGCAGGTTCATTGACATTTTTTCAGATCTTTTGCAGATTTGCAGTAACAATACATACATACACATAGGGCACATCATGTATGCATTTTTCATACATGTAGCATTTTAGGGGTTGCTTATGAAACTTAATACATTTTTCTTTTAGCTGTAGTCTACAATAAACCAAATGACATTTTTTTTCTCTTCCATTTTGAAGTGAAAGCAAGTAAGCTAGAAAGCAGCAAGATGAGACACATTTGCACAAAAGAAATCCCATATCACCCAGATTCCACAGAGGGAAAAATGGAGGGAAGGCAGAGAAGAATATTATCAGAATTTTCCAGTGCCTATATTCTGGGAAAATATGCATTAATATATTTAGGATGCACATGTATTCAGTAGCTGAACTGTTCAAAATGATATGGTAACCTACCCCTCTCTCTCTTCTTCTTTAACTCTCTCTCTCTCTTTCCCCCTCCCTCCCTCCCTCTCTCTCTCCCTCTCTCTCTCCCCCTCCCTCCCTCTCTCTTTCTCTCTCTCCCAACAGTTTGTGGCTCACCCCAACTGCCAGCAGCAGCTCTTGACAATCTGGTACGAGAACCTCTCGGGCTTGCGGGAACAGACCATAGCTATCAAGTGTCTTGTTGTGCTGGTCGTGGCCTTGGGCCTTCCATTCCTCGCCATTGGCTACTGGATTGCACCTTGCAGCAGGGTACTGGCTTCCTACACCTGTTTCCTAAGTGATGGGTGAACCGTGTCCCTTTTGGATAAAAAAAGAAAAAGCTTCATACTTAAGGCTCTTATCAGTTTTACCCTGAATGTTAATTGATTGAAGAACACAGATTCTGCTTTTTAATGACTGGATCAATTCAAATAAAGATAAAAAAGGATTTGGTACTAGTGGAATAGATCACATTTGCAGGAATAAACTACTTAGGCTTTCAAGATAAAATCCCCATGGTATACAGAGAGGAGAAAAGGCTGCTTGAGTGAAGTAGCACTAGTGCCAGTTTTATTGACAGATTAATAAGTAAAATGCCAATGGGGCTGGCTGTGGAAGGAAAGAGAATACATAGCCCTACTGTAGTAGTATAAGGAAACAGTTAACCTGGGTACTAGAGGAACAACTCACTTGGACCTGTCAGAAGAAATCTAAGGCTGAGTGCATTAAGCATAATTCAGAACAGTGGTGTTATCCAAAGTCTTCAAGAAAGTACATGTTGGGGTTCCCTAGCCCTTTGTTCCTTCAGAAGGTTCTAAAAAAGGTAGAATTGGGGTTTGGGATTTTTGAATTTTTTAGATTGTTTATTTAGTTTTACTTGGATCATTTCGTTCAGCACCTTTAGTCTCCTCTCATCTTGCCAGTGTTGAGCCAATTTATTTGTGCCTAAGAGATCCCTTAAACAAGATGTGGAAAGGAATACTAGTCATGCTAACGGAATCTGTATTAGGTTAATAAAGGGCACTGGCAGAGAGAAGGAGCTGTTCTGAGATCCTTTAATCCTGTTTTTATATCCTGAAATCTGGTTTTGTTTAAATCAGAGGTAGTTTCAGGCAAAATGAGTCAAGGCCACTTACAGATGATCCTGGAAACCTGTCAACTCTCTGGCTCAGCAGTCTCCCTGGCAGAGTCCTGCTCTGCAGGCACCATATACGTGCAAGAATATCCATCTGTCTCACTTCAGTGTTGAGTTGCCCATGCAATTTAAGGCAGAGAGTTTGTCATTTTGATCGAGTTTGATGACTAAGTTCTTTTGTTTTGTATCATGGAAAAGTACTTTAAGGTTCTGCAAATATATAAACACTAAAGACTAGAAACCGTAAATAATATACGAGAGCATACAATAAAGCAAAAATCATATCCTACCCAAATAATTTTCCTTTCTGGAGGAAATGATTTGGAAACTTTAAGTTTAGCAGTGATTGTCTCAGCTGGGCATGGTGGCTCACACTTGTAATCCTAGCATTCTGGGAGGCCTAGGCAGGTGGATCCCTCAAGGTCAGGAGTTTCAAAACCAGCCTCAGCAAGAGCGAGACCCCATCTCTACTAAAAATAGAAAGAAATTAATTGGCCAACTAAAAATACATAGAAAAAATTAGCCGGGCATGGTGGCACATGCCTGTAGTCCCAGCTACTCAGGAGGCTGAGGCAGAAGGACTGCTTGAGCCCAGGAGTTTGAGATTGCTGTGAGCTAGGCTGACGCCACGGCACTCTAGCCCAGGCAACAAAGTGAGACTCTGTCTCAAAAAAAATAAAAATAAATAAAGGGATTGTCTCTTAGGGCAGCTTAATGAGTTAAGTTCGAAGTAGGCATTTTGAAGTCCACTCTTTATTTCTCTTTGCTTGTAAAAGTGCAAGTAACAGTGTGGTGAGCTCTGCTGAGCAGAGAAGGGAAACGTGGGAATTGAGCCATTTCTGGAGCCCTTGTTTATAGTTGCAGTATACCACCAATCTTACAGTAAAGGCAACATAACAAGAATCCTCCACATATATCCCATTTTTAAGATAGGCATGCTGCTTTCTTTTCATGTTATTTAAAGTTTTAAAAGATCAACCTTTAGAAGAAACAGACTTGGCAACCCCCAAGAAATCTCTATGTGTTACGGATAAGCTATTCCAAGCATGCCCTCTTTGCAGCTGTGTAACAGAAGAGTGATGTGTAAATGTGTTGTTGTTTATTTTTCTGTGTCTAATATGGAAAATGTGACATTTGTCCATGTGCATTCATGTTCAATCCCAGAAATGCTTGACATTCTTTGGTCTTTTGTTGACATCAAATTAAGGTTCTGGACCTACAAAAACATTTGTTTGAAGTTACAGTCTTAAATGTGAACCTCAGTACTTTTTAAGGTCACAGACTGAGATAAAAAGCAGGGTCTGTGTAGGTAGAATAGAAAACTTATTTGATAACTCTCCCAAATGTACCTAATTCTTGGACTGTGGAAACCCTTGGGACAAGAGGAATTGTTTTCCATTTTTATTAGAACGTGGGACTTTTAAGGACATTATATCACAGGGGATTTTTAAGAAGTCACCTTAAAATAATTATAAACTGAACCTTGGAAGTCCTTTTGTACTATTTACATGATTTTCCAAACTCAGAGACAATTTTTAATTAAGTTAACCTACTTAGAGATTTTAATTATTGTGTATCTCCCTCTTTTTATGGGTGTATTAATGGATAAAATATTTATCTTGATTCTAATATTTTCTGCTTTTTTATAGCATATAAGGTATAACTTGATTTCGGAATATTTAGAAATGAGAACTGGAATTTACTTCTGTACTAATAATTTTTTTAATCTTCAAAGCGTGTTTAATGTCCTATATGAGTCTATAAACTCATCATAACATTTCAATTACAAAGCAATAAAGAATTACACAGCACAAATTTTTAGAGTCTTTTCATAGATAAGAGCAGGAACCATTATATGCCCTGTGATTTTGGATCTGTGTGAATGTAGTCTATCCAAAGAAAAATCTTAAGATATGTAGAAGAAATGAATTTTGAAGACTTAATTACATTATTTTTGGAGAAAGCATCCCTCTAAGTTTTCACAATATAGAAACAGAAGCAGAATTTTGAGTGTTCTCAATTTCGTTTTTTTTTTTTTTTAATCCTCTATAATAGTTGTCACAAGCAGAAGCCAGATTTTCTAAAGCAAACTTTTCCTGTTTTGTTGCAGCTGGGGAAAATTCTGCGAAGCCCTTTTATGAAGTTTGTGGCACACGCGGCTTCCTTCATCATCTTCTTGGGCCTGCTTGTGTTCAATGCCTCAGACAGGTTCGAAGGCATCAGCACGCTGCCCAATATCACTGTTATTGATTATCCCAAACAGATCTTCAGGGTGAAAACTACCCAGTTCACATGGACAGAAATGCTAATTATGGTCTGGGTTCTTGGTAAGCCTTTTAAGTACCCTAATTTCTACCAAAAAATAATTATATAAATGATTGTCACCTTTTCTATTAAAAAATGTTGTTATGTCTTATATGGTGATAACATCCCTATTGTAAAATAAGCTAAATAGCAAAATAATCAAATATTTTGGCAGCTAATGCTAAAATGTATCCCTTGACACGAAATGAATTTTTTATGAGTACCTTGAGCCTCATTACAAACAAACATGTTTTAGAAATCTAACTTCAGTTATTGAACAAAATGTAAGTTTTTAAATGTGACTCACTTTGGTAATCAATTATTTAATTGAAATAGCTGTGAAATAACCCAGGAGCTGAGGAAACTTAACTGATGACTAAAGAACTTTTATACTGCTTTAGTTCCAAAGATTTTAGGAGAGTTTTCATTTTCAGAATGTTTGTTACTTCACCTCACAATAACATTTTGGAAAGCTGTGTTAAAGTAAAAATTTGAAGTAATGTGAGAAAGAAGATTTATTTTTCACCAAATAATAAATAGAAGTTTCACCATAATAAACAGAAGTTGGAACCAATTTGCCTATTGATTATTAATGCAAAGTTGTTTTTGTATATGCTTTCTATTTTATCCATTGGTATTCTTGGTGTCTTCTCATTTGCTGAATTAATAGATTAGTTCCTCCTCTACCTCATTTACTTCTGTGGCCTCAGCCTAGGTCAAGTAATTATTTTATGAATTTTGCTTTGAGACACTACATTTCTTTTTAAAATTCTACAACATTTCCCCTTTATATGATCAGGACGATTTGTTAAATTGGAATGTTTTGACTTCTTGTCCCAGAATGGCATTTTCTGCTTTCAGTTTCTTCATCATGTCCTAGAACCTCCTACTTAAGGGTATTGTCTTTTTCAAATGATGTTACTCACTTCCTCAGCATGAAGCAGAAATGAGAAGAGAGACTAGGGGCATGATGTAAGTGTTCGTGGATGATTGGGAAATTGGTCTTACTGTTAAAAATCTTGGGGACTTATTTCTCCAATAATCACTATGGTTTGATAGCTGCATTTTCGTCTATGCTCCAAAAGTCTTATAGGGCAAAATCCTACTTGAAGAGCCTTGCTGGTTTATTTGCTTCCCTCCTCCTTCCCTTCCTCCACCTGTATAAGAATAGAGACATTTCTGGTGCCACTTGTGGAACTGTTTCTCCAATTCCAACTTGGTAGGGTGAATCATTTCTTTAGTAGAACCTGCTTCTTCCATTTAACTCTGCCCAGGGCTTTGGTGACTGGACAGTCAGGGACAGTCAGTCCCTGCTTTGTGATTCCTAGCACAGTGCTTTGTAGACGGGGCATTTTAGAGATGTGGCCTGATGGGGGGCAAAATAATGGCTTCTCAATCTAAGCTATAAAACTAACCCGTACCCTCTGTATTTGTTGTGACAGGAATGATGTGGTCCGAGTGTAAGGAGCTCTGGTTGGAAGGACCTAGGGAATACATTTTGCAGTTGTGGAACGTGCTCGACTTCGGGATGCTCTCCATCTTCATCGCCGCTTTCACGGCCAGATTCCTGGCTTTCCTTCAGGCAACGAAAGCACAACAGTATGTGGACAGTTATGTCCAAGAGAGTGACCTCAGTGAAGTCACACTCCCACCCGAAATACAGTATTTCACTTACGGTAAGTTGTTAGCTGCAAGGTATTCGTAGGTTTCAGGAAGGGTATCGGAACCCCATTTTGGAAGGAAAAGCAAATTAAGAATATGTTTAATACAAGGGGTGTGTTGAATGTTTATGGACAATGGAGAGAGACAGCATGAGCTTTGGGGCTTTAAAAAGCTAGATTCATATCCAGGCTGTGATTCTCCCTTGCTGCGTGACCTTGTTCAAGTTAATTTGCTTCTCTGTGCCTCAGTTTTCATAAATATAAAAAGAAGATTTTGCAAGGTGGGAGAAGATTACCTTTAAGCCTAACAACGTAGTTACTCTTAGGGCAGGAGCCTGACTTGATTAGGGAAGAAAAACAGCTTGATAAACTAACTGCTTGATGTGGAAGGTGAGTGCCTGACTGCGTGGATTCGAAGAGGTAAGATAATAATAGGTACCAAACTGCTCTGCAAGCAAAGTGAACAAAAATTCAGCAGAGACAGGAAGTGGCACTAAAATGACCATGAGAATGTAAGCTCTGGAGAACCAGCAGAAATATTGAAGATGTTGTGCTTTTCACATAGCATGGAATGAGGTTCATGTCAAACTCCTCTATATCATGAAGAGCAGCTGACATCCAGTGTGCAAAGATACTGATGGCTTCCTTGCCCAGCACAAACCCCTGGTGATATTAGCTCTGCTTCCCTTGAGCCCAGATTGAGGAGCTGCAGTTAGCAAATTTCACATAGTTGTAAAATCTTAAATTTGGAAAAGACTTTAAAAAGTATCATCTAATCCTCATTTTATAAGTAAGGAAACTCAAGCACAGAGTTTAAATGTGTTTTGGTTGTGAAATGCAAGTCTTTTTTATTTTATTTTTTTAAATTTTTTGAGACAGAGTCTCACTTTGTTGCCCAGGCTAGAGTGAGTGCCGTGGCATCAGCCTAGCTCACAGCAACCTCAAACTCCTGGGCTCAAGCAATCCTACTGCCGAGTAGCTGGGACTACAGGCATGCGCCACCATGCCTGGCTAATTTTTTCTATATATATTAGTTGGCCAATTTCTTTCTTTTTATAGTAGAGACGGGGTCTTGCTCTTGCTCAGGCTGGTTGTGAACTCCTGACCTCGAGCAATCTGCCTGCCTCAGCCTCCCAGAGTGCTAGGATTACAGGCGTGAGCCACCGAGCCCGGCCGAAATACAAGTCTTTGTGAGTGTAATTAGGGCTTATATTGTTATGAGTGCAAGCCATGTTAACAATATTGAAGGATGGACTCCTGCTACAAAACATAAGATGTAAATTTCACACACTGTGAAATTGAAACAGGTATCTTTTAATGTTAGCAAAGATTTTTATATACCAAAGAGACCTGTTCAAATCAGCAAATGATCACTGTTTGTAATTAAAGAATTAACTTAGATTGTATTTATGTGTGAAATCTATCTAGTCTATTTCATAGTCTATTTATTTAAACTTGTCATGTGTATTTGGAGCCTGTTGTTTGGAGGAGAATTTGTGATTGGCCTTGATCAAATTTTTAACCTTTCAAAGTCTCGGTTTCTGCACCTGTAAAAAGATGATAATAATAACATCAAATCCATAGGGTCACTGAAAGCAGTGTCTGACACCTATTAAGCAATCAAGAAATATTCATTTTCGTTGCTGTTCCAAATGTCTACAATGCATCCATTCTTCTGGGAGTGACTCAGTTCACACGAAGTCAGCGTAGTGTTGCACTGCCAGGTCTGCTGCAAACTTAATAAGTGACCTTGAAAAGGTAGTTAAGGGTCCTCATTCAGCATCTGTGTCCAAAAGTTTTTCAGTTCAATGGCATTTTACATTTTCTAGAGACAAATTATATTGCTTAGGTATCGTCAGCACCAATGTGATTCAGTGACATTCTCACTCCTTGCAATGTGACATTTTATTTGCATAAACAGTAGGATGAACTAATTTCCCCACAAAACATGGAAAAGAAGTTTCACTCTAACTGTGCCTATAGGATGACAAACTATTTGGTCAATAAGCCTAGTAACTTGGGACAAATCAGTCAGGTCAGTTGTTTTGTCGTCCTGGACACAGTCTGTGTCTATGAAGTCTTTTAAAACCTTTCTTCATCTTTTATATTTTATTCTGTTTCTGCTCAATGTGAAGTCAACTTAGTATTTTTTTTTTTTTTGAGACAGAGTCTCGCTTTGTTGTCCAGGCTAGAGTGAGTGCCGTGGCGTCAGCCTAGCTCACAGCAACCTCAAACTCCTGGGCTCCAGCGATCCTTCTGCCTCAGCCTCCCAAGTAGCTGGGACTACAGGCATGCGCCACCATGCCCGGCTAATTTTTTATATACATATCAGTTGGCCAATTAATTTCTTTCTATTTATAGTAGAGATGGGGTCTCGCTCTTGCTCAGGCTGGTTTTTGAACTCCTGACCTTGAGCAATCCGCCCGCCTCGGCCTCCCAGAGAGCTAGGATTACAGGCGTGAGCCACCGCGCCCGGCCAACTTAGTATTTTTATAATGGTATTTCCTCCATTGAAAGTAATGTAGAATTTGTGTTTCTGGTTTAACATGAAAAATAATGTCTGAACAATCATTAATAATTAAATCTAGAGTGGTTTCAACTGAGATGATAACCACCTACCTATAAGATAGATCCTATTTAAGGTATTTACTTTGAATAGTTAGCAATGAATAGAAAGCTCCATTTTTAATCTCTTTCTTTCTTTTTTCTAGCTAGAGATAAATGGCTCCCTTCTGACCCTCAGATCATATCTGAAGGCCTTTATGCCATAGCTGTTGTGCTCAGCTTCTCTCGGATCGCGTACATCCTCCCTGCAAACGAGAGCTTTGGCCCCTTGCAGATTTCTCTGGGAAGGACTGTAAAGGACATATTCAAGTTCATGGTTCTCTTTATCATGGTGTTTCTTGCCTTTATGATTGGCATGTTCATACTTTATTCTTACTACCTTGGGGCTAAAGTAAATGCTGCTTTTACCACGTAAGTAAGACATCTTATTGAAAAGGTATGATAAAGAGAAATTCTAACAATTCTAGATGAAGCAAAGGAAAAAGTTCAATGATTATAATAAATATGTTTTTAAGAGCAGTAAAAAAAAAATCCATTAAAAAGTTAGTGCTTGTATGTGATTACATTTCTCTGAAGGCTCATCTCTGAGCTTAGTGAGTGTCTGACCACAGAATGGATCATAGTTTAGTAAAACCCTAGACAAAACTGGCCATTTTAGGAGAATGGGATAACAAATTTCTAATACTGGAGGTCTCTTATATTATGTATGACATTAAATTTAGTTTATCATTTTGTAGCCAGTCCTACTCTTTCAAAAAAGAAGCTTTTGTTTTAATGTATTCACTGATCAATACAGGGAGTTGAGTAAGAGGAAATTATTGCTGAATGTTTGACAGCCCACTAGAATGGTAATACCACTTCCTTCCTTTGGTCATACTGGTTTCTGCACTGAAGACTCAACTCCTCTGTGAAGTCTTCCTTGATTAAGCTTCCTTAGTCATTCATTGTCCCTTTAAGATTCCGTAACATGGAGACATCCAGATTGTGAGGGCCTTTCTCAGCCATTAGTGTTTGGTTGTCACAGAGGTAGGGCACTGTCTCTGTGTTGGAGTCCTTCCCAGTAGCGAGATCCATAAACCCTCTCCTTTTGTTCCCTATAATGAACAACTAGAAACAAACTACACATTTAATAAGTTCCCTGTTCACTAAAGTAGAATATCAAGTCCTTGCAGGCATCTAGATTGTTCTGAATTGAATTTTTAAAATAGTAAATATAGAACAGGTTTTAGAGGTGAAAGAGACTTAAAACTCATTTTATTGTAATGAAGAAAAAAATCTGTTTTAACCTAGTGGAGAAAGGACAGAATGATCCTACACCCAATGCCACCTTTGCTCCCTTCCTCCTTTTAACTCTTTGGTAATGCACTTTATACATTACATTTTCCTCACTGTTTTGTTTCGGAAATTGGCAACATGATGTGGTGGAAAGAACATAGGCTGAAAAGTCAGGCAAACCTGGATTTGAATGCATTCTCTGCTAGTTTCTAGCTGTGACCTTTGGTCAAATTAGTGAACATTTCTCAGTGTCAATTTCCTTATTTTTAAAATAAGCACAATAAGGTTTAAATAAGGTCGTTGTGAGGATTATGCAAGTGAAGTTATATAAAGCCTCTTGCCCACAGTAGGAGCTCAGAACTGCTAGTGTCCTTTCCTTTTTTTCTCTCATGCACACACATGCACTTCCATATAGATTGCAAGAGAAGTTAGTGGCAGGAAGGTTTGCCAAGGAGCAGGAGAATTTTGTGATACAGTTAAATAAATGGCAGGAACAAAGAGCTTATGGTTTTTCTTAGTCCCCTATCAGCGTCTGTGCTATAACATCATGCAATCAAATGTTCCATAATAAAGAGTAACTCTATAGGAATAGAAACCTTTCTATTCAACCCTCTCTCCCCAGGGTCTAGCAAAATTTCTAGAACATAATAAGTGCTCCATCAATATCTGTTGAATGAATAAATTAATAAACTAGCACTTAAATCTACAAATCTATAGAACTCATTGTTATTTAGAATCTGCTATAACAAATTTTAAAAAGTATTATTTCCATAAATCTTTCTCTGGAAAAAAGACTTATTTTGAACCTTTCTTTATAATGAAATTTTATCTATGTCATTGTTTAAGGATTATTTATTTGGTTCACCGATCAATGATTACAACTTGGTTATATGACAAAACCAGCCAAATACGTGTTGCCAAAGGTCACTTAAAGCAGCGGTCCTCAACCTTTTTGGCACCAGGGACTGGTTTCATGGAAGACAATTTTTCCACAGAATGGGGGACGGAGAGTGGTTTGGGGATGATTCAAGCGCATTACATTTATTGTGCACTTTATTTCTATTGTTATTACATTGTCACTTGCCACTCACTGATAGAGTTTTGAGAGGAGTCTACAAGCAATTGATTTACTATGGTCTCTGTGCAGTCAAACCTGTCTGCTAATGATAATCTGCATTTGCAGCCGCTCCCCAGCGCTAGCGTCACCTCCTCAGCTCCACCTCAGATCACCTGGCGTTAGAATCTCGTAAGGAACACGCAACCTAGATCCGTCACACATGCAAGTTTGCAGTAGGGTTCAAGCTCCTATAAGAATCCAATGCCACAGCTGATCTAACAGGAGGCAGAGCTCAGGCAGTGATGTGAGCTGTAAATACAGATGAGGCTTCGCTCTGGCTCTGCTGCGACTCCATTCCTGCTGTGCGGGCAGGTTCTTAACAGGCCACGTACTGTGCAGGTGCTGGGGAGGGGAGAGCTGGGACTGCAGATTTAAAGGACAAAAGTAGATAATTAGTCTGATGAGAGCCTAAGTGCTAATTGTTGTGATAGAAGAATCAGGAAGTAGAGTATATAAATTAAAGGGAAAGAATAGGAGTCTTTCATTTCTAGTTAAGTGTTATTTCTAGGTAGGTAATATATTCTTGTGACAAAAATTCCAATAGAGAGAGAGGTGTCTATAGGGAAAAACCTGTCCTCCTCTCCACCTTGGCCTAGTCTCATAGTTCTCCTTAGTTCCCAGAGGCTGTGGTTTCTTTCTTTCGTTCTTTTTTCTTCCTAGAGGTGGGTCTCACTCTGTCGCCCAGGCTGGAGTGCAGTGGTACTATCATAGCTCACTGCAGTTCAAACTCCTAGACTCAAGTTGTCCTCCGCTTCAGCCTCCTGAGTAGCTGGGACTACAGGCATATGCATCCACACTGGCTAATTTTTTTAATTTTTTTCAGAAATGGGTATTTTTGTGTTGACCAGGCTGGTCTCAAACTCTTGGCCTCAAGCAATCCTACCACCTCTGCCTCCCAAGTTCCTAGAGGCAATGATTTCTTTAGGATACTTCCAGAGATATGTTTTACATAAATAAGAATATAAGTATTTGTATACCCTTCTTTTTTATTCAAGTAATGGAATATTTCACACTTGCTATATGTTATTTTTCACTTAATATAATATCTTGGATATAATGTTATATAAACACATGAAGATCAATTTGTCTCATTTTCCCCCAATGTGTGCGTAGCATTCCATTGTATGGATGTAGCAGAATTATTTAGCCTGCCCTCTATTGATGGATATTTAGATTATTTTCAGTCTTTCCTACTGCAAATGATGCTACAAGGAATACGTTTGCATATACTTTTTTTGAAGTAATATATAATTTTAATTCCAACCTCGTTATACTTCAGAAAACCAGATTTAAACTTCTAAACCACCTGCAAAATCAAACCCCAAATTTCCATCCTTCTAGGAGAAGGGAATGGGCATTGTGACATGACTTCAGCTTTCTCTTGCCGAGTTCAGGGAATTTTCACTTGAGGATAACTTAGAAAAGCTAGACATTGGCACCATTTAATCACCAGTTCCTGAAAACCTGGGAGAATAATTTCTGTTACATATTCATAGCAAAATAATTCTATTCTGGGAGTATTTTATGATGGCATTTTACATCTTTACAGTAGTCAGACCCTAACTTGTTTTTACTTTTGACTTTTTAATACTGAAAACTGTCAATTTACTTACTTTGTACCTTATTTTTTCAACAGTGTAGAAGAAAGTTTCAAGACTTTATTTTGGTCAATATTTGGGTTGTCCGAAGTGACTTCTGTTGTGCTCAAATATGATCACAAATTCATAGAGAATATTGGATACGTTCTTTATGGAATATACAATGTAACTATGGTGGTCGTTTTACTCAACATGCTAATTGCTATGATTAATAGCTCATATCAAGAAATTGAGGTAAACCTGTCTTCTATCCATGGTGTCTATGCTTGTCATCCCATTCTGATAACATGCTATGTCTGCTTCTGTAGGCTAGGCTGGAGTTCCAGCTATGTGGCAAAGAGGCTTATATCCAAGCAGAGAGAGCCTGGACCTTTCCCTGTGTTTGCCACCTGGTTAGGTAGTCACACACTTTCTAGTGTCTCCTAGGAGCACCACAGGGGTGACCCTGAATTTACTACCACTGTGCCTTCTCTCAGGGTACATTTCAGAAGTTTTGAAATTAGTAGCTAGAAAAAGTATTGGCCCTAGGGAAATTATTCTCTCCTTGGTTAGCCAGCCAACCCTTCTTCCCAGTAGAAGAATTACAAGACACTTGGCAGAGACTGACGATGTTCTTTATCCATTCAGAATATTTAGTATTCTTTTGATTTGGGATTAGGCTTGGTTTGGGACCCTTCTTCACCATTGTAGGTATGTTCTCCAGTTTAGTGTTCAGTATTTTTTTAGTGCTTTGCTGTTTGTTAACTCCACCGAGTCTCTGTGTGTTTTAGAAGCTCATAATACCTGTTCTCAAAGCAGAAGTCAGATCCTCTGTAAATAAAAACTCTGGTCCTCTGAACTCCTGCTTGGGGGTGTGATAATGGGCATCTGGGCCGTGTGAACTGCGTGGGCCAGCTTCCTCCACCCATGGGCCCCTCCAGTTCATTTCTACTGTCCACTTAGGGTGGTTATACCTATTACCATGGGCAGCACTGAGGATAGAAGGATATGTGAGACAGATGTAAGCTACTGAGGCACTTTCGTGACATTTGGGGATATTTGGCAGACACATAAACTCCATAAAGCAATTCATCTGAGTACCATTTTTTTCCTTTGCCCTTGAAGTATAATATGCAGTGTTTACAACCTGACTTGGATGGGTCTAGGTGAGGAGGGAGGGTGGGTGCAGAGTGGGGAACTGTTTTTGAACATGCATAAATGGCTGCGGTAGGAGATGGAGGGAGGAATTAACCTTTCTATTCTTCCTGGCCTCTGAGTTTTTCTTGTCTTTTTGCTTTGTTTTGGATGATAGACGGGAAACTCTGGTTAAATTTCAGTGAGTACAGACAGAGGCATAAAGAAGAGAAAATATTTAAAAAATGAGTATCTTTTTATTTGTAAAATAAGAATATTATATAGACCTGTTGAGATTATATGTAGGTAAATGTGTATAAGTCACCTATTTCAAAAACATAATTTAGGTTCATTGTAAGAACCTGTGGGTATCAGTTACTAGAATGTTTAGTTTCTAAAATTAGTTATTTCTTTTTTGTTTTTGTGACACAGGATGACAGTGACGTAGAATGGAAGTTTGCTCGTTCAAAACTTTGGTTATCCTATTTTGATGATGGCAAAACATTACCTCCACCCTTCAGTCTAGTTCCTAGTCCAAAATCGTTTGTTTATTTCATCATGCGAATTATTAACTTTCCCAAATGCAGAAGGAGAAGGCTTCAGAAGGATATAGAAATGGGAATGGGTAACTCAAAGTCCAGGGTAGGTATCAAAAACTTACCAAGACCTTAAAATAAATGTTTGTCTCTTTCTCCTTGTCTTTTGATGTTTGTTCAATAACTTTTATATGTGAACTTAGAAGATGTTGGAAGTAACTGTCCATTCCATAGTCTTTCATAGACTAATACCTAGTATCCTCATAACATTTTGAGAAATCACTTAGTCTATGCCCTGCTTTGGATGAGAACCTCATGTAAACTACCAGATTAAAAACAAACAAAAAACGTCTTTAACTTGTTCAAAGTTACCAAAAAGGGTGTTAGAAAACACTTTGTTTTTGTGTGTTCTGTGCTTCTCATCTGTTATACTGAAGTCAAATAGTTTTAACCTCCAATTTCCTCTTGGTATATGTATAGTTCACCACCACCATATTCTCCTTTTTTTGTAGAAACCTTTTACTGAACTAAATGATTTTTTTTCCTTTAGTGTCATAAAATAGATACAGGCCTAAAAGCATCCTCAAATAACTATAAATACAGCTTTATAAATAAGCAAGAGTGGTTTGCCCTTGAGTTGTCCCAGTTGAGTCATACTTTAATTTTAACAAAGAAGATAATTTTCATGATGGCGCTTCATTATCGTGAACTTAATTTTCAGAGATAGAATTGGTATAGGAGACAGAAGGATATAGGCAAACCTCAAATACCAAGGAACGAGGCAGGTAGGAGCAAATGTGTGGGGCTAAAATATAATTTTGGGGTAGAGCCTGGTGCCACATGCCTGTAGTCCTAGGTACTTGGGTGGCTGAAGTGGAAGGATCACCTGAGCCCAGGAGTTCAAGGCTGCAGCAAGCTGTGATTCCACCACTGCTCTTCAGCATGGACAAGAGAAAGACCCTGTCTCTTAAAAAAAAATTATATATATAAAATATATATAATATATAATTTTTGCCTAAAATTGTGAAAATGGTCTCTAGCTGTAATATCCTAGAAGCCCAGAGGATATCAATGTTATCTCCATAAAGAATAGGCCTTCCTGAGCAAAGGCAGATATTTTTCTCAGTTGAAGCTAGGGAAAAAACAGGATTAAAGCTAATTTGTTGCTTTTTAAGATAGATATGAGTTTTCAAGATTTGTAATACTCTAGAATTTTATTGTTTAAGAAAGCGGCCTTTTAAATCTTTTTTTTTCTTTGATCTGGATTGGGGCTTTACAGGCTAGTAGGTTACAAGGCAGTGACTGGCTGTGACAGCCCATGATTTAAGATAATACCTCATATGTATGCAGTCGGAAGCAGTGCAGTGTAAGGAAGAGAGCTTTGGTGTTAAACCTGGATTTACATTCCGATACCCATGACTTATGAGCAAGTAACATGGATAAATCACTTCACCACTCTGATCCTTAATCGTCTCACCTGAAAGAGAACTTTTTAGGGTTATTATGAGGATTATATGAGAAAACACAAAGTTCCAGCCTCAACAAGTATCAGTACCCTCTCTCATTCACACTTTACAAAGTGCTTTACTGCACATTGGAACCTCATGCAATGCTGAGAGGTACATATCATCATTATTCCCACTTAATAGAACAGACAGCTGAAACCATTCAAATAACTCACTTATGCAAGATCACAGAAGCTAGCCACTGCAGGGGTGAGTGTGGTGGAGTTCAAGTTTGCTGGCATCAGAGGCCCAGCTGTCTCTGCTGAGTGCAGCCTTGATTGACTTCCTCCCCACAAGCCATACCTTCAGCTGCAGGATAACTGGGCAGCTCCTGCTGCGGAAATTGACTTTGTTTTTGAAGAAGCTGTGTTCTTCTGTGGATTTATTAACTGAGGCTTTATTACTAAAAAGGAGGTCTCTCCAGTGTGGGCACTCACAGCCCTCGCACTTCATGGAACACACCTTGAAGTTTTCTTTGTGAAGAAACAGGTTTCACTAGCTTAGTTCCTGATACTGTGGTAATGTAGAAGGGGAAATGCTAAAAATCAGCCTCTTGGGTGGAGGCTACCTGGACCTCTCTAAAGGAAACGTGCGAGGGAAGCTTTCCATTTAGGCTGTCCGCTCCTGCCTGTATGGCGCCCCTGACAGGAAAGACTGGCTTTTCTCAGAAAGCCTGGAAACAGAAGGAACACCAAGCTCTGACCTCTCAGGAGGCGTGCCTCTTGGCTTCCCAGGCTTCCCACATCTGGTGAAAACTGCCATTTTGATTTCATCTTTTAAATTGTACAGAGAGCTGTTTAAATCTCTTTAATACTATCCATCAATACTCTGTGTATATTGAATGTAGTAGAAATTCGGAGAAATCCTATTTTTCCTTTTTAGAAGACAGGAAGAAGCCTCCAGAAACCTTTCCAGCTAACTTAACACAACTAACCTCAGCCAACAGGCAAATACTGACCCCCAGTGGCACATAGGAGAATTAACTTTGTTAGCCACGGTTTTCTCCTGGCACAATTTTAAGAGAACAAAGTTAGGAGGTTCCTTGCCTATCAGTGCCGCTTGCTTCCTCCCTAGCATCCCACACCTTCCTGAGTTATAAGAGTGGGAAGTCGGGTTTTTTTGGACAAGGGGCCCTGCCTTTGCATCACACTTTATAGGTGGCAGCTTACCCAGAGATAAGATGTCATATACATGAAGAGTAGACAGTACCTGTGTGCTCTGCTTACTTTTTCTTCTTACCCACTCAAAAGCCAAACCTAAAAAGAAAAAGAGAGAAAAAGGCCGGCACGGTGGCTCACGCCTGTAATCCTAGCACTCTGGGAGGCCAACGTGGGAGGATTGCTCGAGGTCAGGAGTTCAAAACCAGCCTGAGCAAGAGTGAGACCCTGTCTCTACTATAAATAGAAAGAAATTAATTGGCCAACTAATATATATAGAAAAAAATAGCCGAGCATGGTGGCACATGCCTGTAGTCCCAGCTACTCGGGAGGCTGAGGCAGCAGGATTGCTTGAGCCCAGGACTTTGAGGTTGCTGTGAGCTAGGCTGACACCATAGCACTCACTGTAGCCTGGGCAACAAAGCGAGACTCTGTCTCAAAAAAAAGAGAAAAGAAATGAAAATGAAAATTCTTTAGTGCAATTCTCTCCAAAGTTGTAAACTGGGCTCAGTATAAGGCCAAGTTCCTTTGGAAGGTGTGTTATTTTGGCTAATACTGTAGGGCTACAGAATACCAGATGGTACCAGCTGGACCTATAGTGTGTTTCTGTTCAAGTCTAGTAGAACTTAGGCTTGTGATCAGATTGAACTGCTTCATGGAACTTTGCCTTTTAGAGGCAATGAATACATTTTGATAAACTCCACAAAGTCCCGAGGAAAAATGATTTAGTATGAGCCAATTTTTTAACATATATTTTCAATTAAACATTTCTACAATAGTAGTACATCTTGCCAACATTTTAATAAATGTAAACATATTGCTCACCTTAATTTTACCTTTGGGAATATATCAAATGGCTTCTAAAACTCAGCTTGGACAAAATGTTCCTCAGAAATGTTGACCCCAAATAAATTATCAAGGAGAATAAAGTGGATTATATTTTTTTATTCCAAATGAATGTATTCTGATTTACTAGGTTAATTGTATTTTTTCCTAGTTAAACCTCTTCACTCAGTCTAACTCAAGAGTTTTTGAATCACACAGTTTTAACAGCATTCTCAATCAGCCAACACGTTATCAGGTAAGCATTCATTAGTCGTATCTCTTGATCTGTCTGTGGTTCCGTGTGTGTGTGTGTGCGCGTATGTGTGTATAGTGAGTAGAATTATACTCTTTAGATGTACTATCAGAATAGTACAGAACAGAGGAAATGAGAAAATAGTATGGTAGTGGGAGGGGCCTTTAGAACAGACTCCAAGCCCGCCCCCCCCTTTTTTTTAGCTGAGTGAGAAGAGTTTCTTTTGCAATATTGAAAATAAAGTGTTGCTACCATTTCCAAAAAACACTTAAGGTATACTTTAAGCTGGAGAAAACAGTGAGAAATACAGTGTATATGAGAATGAATAATGCTCTCGCAGTAGGAAAACCTGGTACATCTCCCTAGGTTTTTCTTTAAAGTGATCGCTTTTTAAATGGCTTGTTAGGCTATCCTGTTTCATCAGCACTACTTTAAAATATCTTTTGCATTTTGATATTGGATGTGATAGTTGAACACTATTCTCTAACTCAAAAGAGATTAAATTTCTTTACTTTTCATCTGGTTGGTCATTTTGAACATCAAATCTTTAAATTTCTCATGTATATAAGGTCACAGATATGAGGATCAAGAAATGTATAACAGGCCGGGTGCGGTGGCTCACGCCTGTAATCCTAGCACTCTGGGAGGCCGAGGCGGGCGGATTGCTCGAGGTCAGGAGTTCGAAACCAGCCTGAGCAAGAGTGAGACCCCGTCTCTACTATAAACAGAAAGAAATTAATTGGCCAACTAATATATATATAGAAAAAATTAGCCAGGCATGGTGGCGCATGCCTGTAGTCCCAGCTACTCGGGAGGCTGAGGCAGGAGGATTGCTTGAGCCCAGGAGTTTGAGGTTGCTATGAGCTAGGCTGACGCCACGGCACTCACTCTAGCCTGGGCAACAAAGTGAGACCCTGTCTCAAAAGAAAAAAAAAAAAGAAATGTATAATGTATTGGTGATGTCAATTAATAGGTATAGTCCTCTTCTTTATACAGTTTTCTTAAGAGCAGGAAATTCTGCACAACTGCTTGGCACACTGATTGTCAAAGCCTTGCTTTTAAACTTGTGTTTATGTTACATTATATGGTTGTGCTTTATTTATTCATTCTTCTATTGATGGACATAGATATATTGCCAATATTTAGCTATTATAAACAATACTGCAATAAGTAATCTTGTATACATAACATTTCAAACATGTAAATGTATAGGATTTTCTGGTTAAAGTATATGTACATTTTAATTTTTTAGCTGTTATCAAACTGGTATCGATGGAGCTTGTACCAATTTACATTCTTACAATAAATGTATGACAGTGCCCGTTTCATCCTCACTTTGCCAATAATGTGTTACCAAAGGTTTTTATCTTAGCCAAATAAGTGAAAATGATTTTGCTTTGCATTTCCTTATCATGAATGAACTTGACCTTCATTTTATGTGTAATGTTCTGTATACTTATGACTCAATATATATTTGCTTTTCTTGATGGGTTTTTGTTATCAATTAAGATGAATTTTTTATATTTTAAGAATATCAGCTTTTGATAGGAACTGAGAATTTTTCACCAGTTTGTTGTGTGTCTTTTAAATATTTAAACTGTTTTTCCCCCATCCACAGCTTTTTTATTTTTGTTTAGTTAGCTTTACAAATTTTTCATGGCATCAGGTTTTGTGTACTATTTAGAAAGATCTTCCCCTATGTGAGATAATTTAGTAATTTTTAACCCATATTTCTTTAGTACTTTTACTTTTCATATGAAAACATTTTATTCATATAGAATAAAACATCCAAATATATATTTTTTTCAGATAATTTCACAGCTGGGTGTGTTGAATAACCTATTGATTTGAAATGCCACTTTTATCATTTGCTAAATTCCTATTTATATTTAAACTTATTTCTAAGCTTTCCATTCTGTTCCATTGATCTAACTATTCATGCTATAGAACTACATTATTTTAATTATTGTAGTTTAAAACAAAAGTCAAGCAAATGACGATGTCAAACAAAAAACCAAATTCTGCCAAAATATTTAAAGAGGTTTATTCTGAGCCAGTGAGTGACCATGGCCTAGAGAAGGACAAATGCAAGGGTTTCTTTTAAAAGAGCACTAATCCTACGGCCATACCACCCTGAACGCGCCAGATTTCGTCTGATCTCGGAAAAGAGCACTAATCCCATTCATGAGAGCTCCACCATCATGACTTAATCACCTTCTAATACCATCACCTTGGGGGTTAAGATTTTAACACATGAATTTGGGGTGGACAAAACATTCAGTCCACGACAATGAATGATAACAATTGTTTAGTTGTTATGGATTTTTGTTTCATAAAGTGTGATTATGATAGATAAAACTTACCTTTAAAAAATTCCAGAGCATAGTCTGCTAAATGAGGATTTTCCTTCAGAGTGTAACCCCTGGGATACACTAATTCTAATAGTGCTATCACAACTCTGAACATTTTTAGAACATCTTTAAAGAATTACTTTTATAATTAGTTCATCAGACACAAAAGAATTTCATTACTTTCTAGTTACTGAACTCAGCTAATTATTCATATTAAGAAGACATAATGCCATGCCTTTGCATTTTTTCAAAAATAGTTGTATCCAGCTTCAAAAAAAAACATACCCTTCACCAACAGGATCATCACCTTATGTGTTTTACATCCAAATGAAGGTTTCTCCTCCAAAACAATTTCTTCAAAGACAAAGACTCAAATGTGCCCCAATGGGGCAGCAGAGGAAGAGGTTCAAAAATGCTCTGATCAGTGGCAGTATTTATTCTAAAATTCATTATTAATAGCATGCTGAGATAATTCTTTTTGTGCAAAGAATTGTCTTAAAAACTGAGGGTGTTTTTTTCTTATTTGATCTTAGTCAAAAGGCAGAGAAGCAATAGGGGTAGTTTTTCTCAAGGACATAAAGACTTGGAAGGATGGCTATGATTGAATTCTGCTAATTTTAACAATGTTTTATTGAAAACATGTATTAGTTTGGTTATGTAACGTTAAAAGTACACAAACTAAGCTATGTGAATAAATAGAAATTTATTATAAGAGTCCACAGAAGCTATGCTGTTAAGTTCTTAAGACTTATTCTCTTTGTTGCCTCTTGTTGGCAGCCAACTATTAAGCTGGCTTCATTAAGCTGGCTTCGCCTTGGGAACACCTTTGTCCCAGATAGTGCTGGATGGTCTTTGGACCAGGTGGTGGTCTCTGGTCCAATCCATGAGGGCTATCATTACAGGCTTGGTTTTACTGGAAGCATTCGGGAATTTTTCTCTGAAGGGGGCAAAACGACACATTCACATTGAGTTCCACTCAATGATCTTCCGGGCACATTCAAGATAACCCCTGTTAATGCGTGGTCTTAGGTTATATGGATACAAAGATACAGTCATTCCTTCAGGGATCTCTCCACTGGAGTAGATGGCAGTGTTGAGTGAGGAGGAAGCAAGCATTCACCCATCACTGCAGTATGGCTATGTGGAATAGCTATGCCTACATATGAAATAGAAATAAATATAAATGAAATGAAATATAAATAAGTGGTATGGGAACCCAGAGGAACCCAAAAGAGGGGATATTTAAAAGTCAATCAAGTAGGAAAAACAGAAAATTTATTTTCTGTTGCCCCAAAGAGCAGAACTTAGACCAGTGGTTAGAAGGTACAGTGAAGCAGGTTGAGGCTCAGTGCAAAGGAGTTGTTTTCTAACAGCCGCAATCGTCCAAAAATGGATTAGACCGGCTGTCTGGACAAAGTAGCAGGCTCCCAATCACAGGTGTTTACACCAAGGCTATCTATTACATAGATTTACTTGTTATCGAGCTTTATAAAAACAGTTTCATACTTTGCGAAGTCTTCTGCAACTGGCATTTTTCATTCAACATTATGCTTCTAAGATTCATCCACACTGTTGTGTGTGGCTGGGGTTCATTAATTTTATTAATGAACATAGTGACATTAATTTTAATAAAATTAATGAACACAGTGACATTATATTGTGTAACATACCGTGAATTGTCTGTTTTCCTATTGATATTCGTTTAGATTGTTTCCAGGTTTTTTGCTATTTTAGATAGAGCTACTATAAACATTGTTGTCTCTTCCTTCACATGTGCATAGTTTCTCTAGGCTCTATACCAAGGAGTGCACTTTCTGGGAGAAAGGGTATGTAAATGTTCAACTTTAAAAGATAATACTGGCCAGGTGTAGTGGCTCTCCAGCTACTAGGGAGACTGAGGTGGGAGGATAGCCTTGAGCCCAGGAGTTCAGGCCAGCCTCCCAACATAGTTGAGACCCTATCTCTAAACAAAATTTTAAAATAACAATGTAAAAAGTAAAAAAAATAATAATGCCAAATTGTTTTCAAAATTGTCTGTTTATACTCATGCCAGTAAAGTATAAAAGTCCCCATTGATTCATATCCTTTCCAATACTTGGCATTATCAGATTTATTAATTTTTCCATTTGTCAGATAGAAAATTGTATCTCCTTTACTAATAATTTGTATTTCCCCCAAAAAGGAGTTTCAGATTATTTAATAAGCTTGTTGACCATCACATCTCCATCTCTCTGAAACACTTGTTTGTATTTTGCCCATTTTTAAATTAGGTTATTTGAGTTTTTCTTATTGATTGAAGTTCCTTATATATTTAGATTCGAATTATTTGTCAGGTATAAGTATTACCAGTATTTTCTCAAAGTCTGTGGCTTACCTTTTCACTTTTGTTATGGTATCTTTATGTGGAAGTTTTAAATTGTAATGAAGTTGAATTTATTAATCTTTTCTATTATTATTAAAATCCTTTATCTTATTTTTTTAAAAAAATCCAGCTCTACCCTGAATTTATAAATATGTTCTCCTATACTTTTTTTTTTAGAGGATTCAAAAGCTTTGTCTTTCTCATTAAAAATGCACATGAAATTAATGTTTCTGTTCATGGTATGAAGTAGGGCTCCAATTTAATTTTTTCCATATGTATAAGCAATTATCCTGTGAGAGCATTTATTGAGATTGAAAAATAGTCACAATATATATTGCTATGAGAGGAAAACACATAATATAACAGAATATATGGTATTCAGAAAACATAAAATATAATACATAATTAGTATATATATAAAATTTAAAGAAAAGATATTCGAAGAGCATACACCAGAATAACAGTTGTGATTATCTTTGGATGGTGGAATTATCAATGATTTTGTTTATTTCTTTTGTTCTTCTCTGTATTTTCCAAATTTCTTCTACAGAGCATATATTCATATATTTTTCTAAATAGTGAGAAAGAAGGTAGTGTCTATAGGTGATAATATAGGGTCATTGCACCTTAATAAGAAACCATTAGTTGAAAGAGAAACTATGAATTGAAATCTTCCAACTTAACTTTTTTTAAAAGCTTCTTTCATTTCTGAGGCCAAAGGGAGGAAAACATAGTGTTTGTGGATCATGCATTAAGTCTCAGTAGAAGGTGAGAAGGGGTTAAGCTGAAACCCTAATAATTCTTTTATAAATAGTTACATAAAATTCATTTCCCCTGAGTTGTTTGTTTTACAGGTATGTAAGGCTCTTTGGAAAATAGGATCCAGGGCACTTATGTGTATCATTGGTGATCTAATCTTTTTGTTTTGCCCAACAGCAGATAATGAAAAGACTTATAAAGCGGTATGTTTTGAAAGCACAAGTAGACAAAGAAAATGATGAAGTTAATGAAGGTAAGCATCTCCAATTTGAGAAACATCCTATTATAACTTAATGAACCTGGAAAACTTCATATTGAAGCATACTTTAAAAATACAATCCCAGGTTACAGTTTGGTTTCTTCCAAGATTGACGGGAGAATCTTGTGTTTCATTTCTAAAACTTCATCTTTTTAAAGAAACAACTGTTAAAAAATGTTGATCAGAGGCAATTTGTCTCCACTCAGAGTACCCTAACTGATTCTTAGAATGCAAAGACTGCTATCTTTCTAGGAGTTTTTAAAATCCTTACATAAAATATTCAGTAAAATAGTCTGTTTTTAGTGAGTTCAAATTAGTGCTAACATTTTTCCAGTGATGTAGGTTAAACAGTGACTCAAATAGAATTCACATGTCTGTAGAAAAACCTCTATTTTGTTGTCCAGAAACAAATTTCTAACCCAATTTTTTTGTCTAGTGTTTCTCTTTTGAATTTCACTTTTCTCCTTGGCTCCTGACTTAAGCATGCTTCTTTTTTTAAGGCATATCTGAGACAGCGCATCTGTCTAGACTATAAAAAGTTTTTAGCAAAGCATAGGCCCAGAGTTGGAAAGAAATCAACCTGGTAGAAATAAATTGCCCTAAAAATGGAAACTATACCTTCCAACACCAATGAGGTGCCACTAGATCTACCTGTACTGATAAGGGAAGAAAAGGCTAAACTTAGTAAAATTGTTGAGGGCTTGGAAGCCATCACTTAATGGGAATCCCTTGCAAATCTGAGTTAATCCAGTGGTATGTGTATGCAGGAAAGAAATCTGTGAATGTGTGATTGAGAACCAGCAAAAATCCAATCATAGTGACCTAGAAATAGTCTCAGCAAGACAGGATTGGAGTGAAGTTTAGAAAGCAGAAATCTGATCAGTTGTACCATAATCTCCCTTGGGTGTGGGGGAAAACTAAGTGGGAGGAATTGTATGGCCATAACAACATCAAAAACAAGGAACATTTTCTAAGCCCTTGCACAAAAAAGGAAAATTAATGAGAATTTGATGTTTTAAATAAAGTTCTTATTAAGAAAGTAGATCCTATAGCTCAACCTCCTCATTCAAGAAATGAGAAAACGAATGTCCAGAGAGGTTGAGTGATTTGTGTTCCCTGAACTGACAAACTGAATACAACACGTAGGGTGCAGTTGCCCCATGACTCAGGAACAAGGAAGGTGGGATATGGTAGCAGGAGGTGAAAGGGTGTCCACAACGGTACTGAATGGTGGTCCACAGTGGTTATGAATAATGTGGGAACCCATTTCTTCCACCAAAGACTGGCCTCGGGATTTCAAATTAGATCGTTTTACTCCCTTTATATTGCCATATGCCAAAGCACCTTTTTTTGTTGTTGCCACAAAAGGAATCCATAAATGTTTTTTGTGCATTTTTGAGGAAGAGTTAGAATTACTTAAAGTGAAAAGGTTCTGACTTTTATATAATAGAAGAACATTGAAATTATACTTTAAAGCATCATGAAGACACAAGGAAATGTCATCAAAGGTGTGTTTTATATGCTATTCTATTATTAAAAGGTAAGTCAAAGTACTAATGATTTGAAGAATCATTTCTTAGATTCAAGATTAATTTCTGCCCCCACTTTCACTTTTCAAGGTCAGTGGCTTAACTTACATTATAGTCATTTGCAAGAGAATCCAGTTTTTAATTGTAGTCTACATATGCTCAAAATACTGCCAAGCTGAATTACGGGAGCTTCTTGTCACTTCCTTATGCATGGATCTTCTGTGCCAGGCAAATGAATTTCTGTTCCTCCACTCCAAGTTCATTACCATTGCCTTTCCTAATAAACGCTCCTGCTCTTTTTCCTTCCCTTCCCTTACTTCAAATATGACTTAAAATTTATTTCTTCTATGTATTGCCTGTTAAATAGATTGATTCATTTTTAATAAAGCTTAAAGCTTTGCTATCCTAGCAATGGGAGATAGTTGATGTAGGTGTCAACCCTTATGCATGAGGGAAACAAAGGGACACCCTTGTATTTAGAAAGGAGATCAGGTAACAGAGAATCACCCCATGTTAAAAGTTGGGTAAGCCAAAGGATAACACTTTAAGCTGAGTTTTACTGTTAAAAAACGTAAGTGGACTATTTTTATACTTTTTGCAAAGGTCAATATATCTTTAAAGACAGATGTTTCTTAAACACTTTAAAGGGAAAAAAATTGAAATAGCTACCTTGGAGACTTTATGAAGCAAATATATTCATATTATATGAATTTCATTCTTTGTTCTTTTCTAAATCCAAAGAGCAAATTACCAATTATATATTTTTTAATACAAATACTATAGGTGAATTAAAAGAAATCAAGCAAGATATCTCCAGCCTTCGTTATGAACTTTTGGAGGACAAGAGCCAAGCAACTGAAGAATTAGCCATTCTTATTCATAAACTTAGTGAGAAACTCAATCCCAGCATGCTGAGATGTGAATGACGCAGCAACCTGGAATTATGGCTTTGACTATAGCACAAATGTGGGCAATAATATTTCTAAGTGTGAAATACTTGAAAAACTATGGTGTACATTTTTAGTATTAACTACCTTTATCATGTGAATCTTTAAAAGTTAGGTCTTAATGATTTTACTGTTTTATCATGAAAAAGCATTTTATTTCTCTGCCTTGACATTATAAACAATGACATACCATTGTATTTAAAGGCCCAATATTACTACATTACTGACATTTTTATCCATTTTAGAGTAAACTCTACATCTTTGCACTACCTGTTTGCCCCCAAGAGACTGCCAGCTTCTTGGGGACTGGGACCACGTCTTATTCATCTTTGTGTCTCCAGCATCTAGTACAGTGCCTGGTACATAGTAGGTGCTCAATAAATGTTGAAACCAACCGAACTGCCAACAAAATACAAATAAAAATAAAAGGTTATCATTATGTAGCATACCTTCCCTTGTCCAAGTGCTGAAGAGATTTTTTTAAAAATAGAAACTGAAGAAATTTTCAACCAGCTATGAGTTGGTGAGATTTTCTTAGAATTTTAGGTGTCACTGATAATCTTAGATCTATTGAGCCCTGAATGAAGAATTTAACAATGAAATGGGTTAATAGAAAATATGATTACATTACATATTTAAGTTTCATAGAATTGTCCAAAATAATGCATTAAAGATTTTTCTAAAATATATACCGTTTGCTTTCTGTCTTAGACTTTCATTTATTGTTTTTCAGTAATGTGAATTATTTTAAAGGTGGGGCTATGCAGGGTTGTTATTTTGTTATACCCTTCTAATTTCTGCCTCTGATGCTTTAATGCTAAATAAGATATCTTGCCCATTAGCTCCATTCTGAGTTTTGGAGGGTCTGCTTGTAGTAAGAAATAGGAAAGGACCATGACTGTGTATGTACCTGGAAAGACATGGCCAAGCATTGCCAGGTGTGTTTCATTTCCTTTTGAGACATTTTTTGCCATCATCGCTTACGATGATTGACATCTTTTTTCTTATCAGAGGATTTCAGTTCCACTTTGTATACAAAATAGATTATGATCTATCTGTATTTACCTTAGTACATAACTCATCTGAATACCGGTAATATCCACAATGCCTCATGACTTTACAGGAAAGAGGATACAGGCCAATAAGTCCCCTGGTCTTGTCACAGACTATACAACACTCAAAGCACTTTTTAACCAGCTGAATTTAAATCTCTCATAGAGTTATCTTTAGCATCTTGAGTCCCTTCAGTCAGTTTCCATCAAGTTTTACAGGAATGCAAATTGTGACCATAGCTCAAGGAGTTTTATAGGTCCTTAAAACCAGTTAAATACATGATATTTTAAAATCATGACTATCACACAGGAAGGTTTTGTAGACATGAAGACAAAAATGAACACTAAATGGAACTACATAAAGCTCTTTAAAGATTATTTCTTAATTTCTACTTTTTTGGGAGTTAAAACAAATTAAGAGAAAAACTTTATACATTTTTTGCTATCATTATAGACTATTGCATTAACTTTTGTGCTATGCTAATATGTGTCTTAAACATTTTTCAAACTTTATGTACTTTTATGTCATGCCTTAGAACTGAATAAAATATTGAATTTTTCAATTGTTATATATTGATATACATTGTATTAAAATAGTAAATATATGGAGTTTTTATAATAGATGATAGTTTTTAGTTTTATGGTATGGTCTAGGATTTCAGGTGTGGAAGTTTTTGCTTATACCTAGGGAACAGGGTATTTACTAATTTTCCTGTTTGGGGTTGGAAAAATGTTGAATGAAAAAGTGGCAGATGCAGCCAGCTGGGGACATTCAGCCAAGGATCCTTGGAATCTGGTGATCAGAGAGGTATGAAGATAAAGCTCATGCCCATGGCATTTGCATCATGTGTGCACATTCTTTCTATGTTTTCTTTGTTTGTGTGTGTGTTTTTTTTTTTTTTTGGTCTGTGCCTCTCACTACTATAGCACTCTTAACAGGTTATTTTTTTTTATTTACTATGCTTATATAAAACTAATATAGTTTTATTAGTTCATCTTTTTATTTATTTAATTTTTTTAAGATAGGATCTCTCACCCTGTTGACTGGGCTAGAGTGCGATGGCATCATCATAGCTCACTGCAACCTCAGATTCCTGGGCTCAAGGGATCTTCCTGCCTCAGCTTCTTGAGTAGTTGGAACTATAGGTGGGTGCCGTTATGCCTGACTAATTTTTCTTTGGTTTTGTTTTTTCGTTTTTGTTTGTTTTTTTTGCTGTTGATATCTTTGATGCCCTGCCCAGATCTCCTCTACTGGGCCAGTGCACCCATCTCCCAGGTACTCCTGTGCAGTTCCCAGCTAATCACTTTCCCCAGAGAATTGCCTTCAGCAGAACGAAAGCAGCCTTGCCCTGGATGTTATGCCTCACCCTCCCCATGGCTGACAGGGATGGGGGCCAAAAAAGGCTGGCCCCTGTCTCAAGGTGGGGTCAACTTTTTGGTGCACTTCATTCTCCAGAGCTCCTGAAGAGATTAGGCTGGAACTAGAGGCAAGCTGAGATGTACTCTGTGTTTAGCTTCTTCATCTGCCTTTTCCTGCTTCCTTCCCTCCCTTTCTCCTGAGAGCATTCCCCTCAATGAATCACTGCATCCAAATCCTGTCGGATTTTCTTCTTAGGGAACCCTAAGACATAAGGTATTAATATGGTAGAATATGGGCGAGGTGGGGATTAGTTTAGGGGATTGCTGTCAGAATTAGCACTTCTTTTGAGGATAAAGATAGCTCTGGGTCAGCAAGTCCTTGCCCTATCCACTGTGGAGACAGGCACATTTGGGAAAACAAAGCTAAAAGAAGTTGGTGGGGCAACTCAAGGATGGTTGCATTTAAGCAGCACCAAAGACAACTTGTCTAGAAAAAAAACATTTAGGTGCTTACCATTAATTAAAGGATTGTGAAAGCCTCAGGGCTTTTCTTTCCTTGTGACAGCTCTTCCTTTCTGACCCCTTTTCTCTTCTTAGTTATTTTCTCAGTTAAAGATAAGATAGAGGAAAGACACTAAAACTGCTTCTCTTACTGTTTAAAAAGTTTGGGACTTTGTAAGTGCTTGCTGTGTTAAATTTACATAGCACCCTTGACTTTATGGAATTCACAATCTGGGATTCAGAAGCTTGGATTCACAGACTTGAAAGAAAATAGAGAACTTTGTAAAAATGGCATGTCTTCAAAGAATTCTGTGCACTATCAAAACTTAAAAATGACATAAATATGTTATGATTATTAAAAGCAAACTTAGTACAATTTAGAACAACTATCTGACCAATCATATCCAATGTTTTTATATTTCAAATGCATAAGCCAAATGAAAGCAGATTTTGTAAATAGGAAGGAAAATTGTCTTATGGACAATATCTAAAGAGAACTGAAGTCACATTGTTACTGTGTGGACTGAGACAAATCACTTAACCTGTATGGTCTTCACAAATAGTTCAGTCAAACAATGTTAAATGGTTATGCTACATCAGGGAGTTCTTGGTCCCTAGGGGTCATAGAGATATTTCAGTGGATTAATATCATTCATCATCCATATTGGTAATGATTTCTCTGTGTGTGTGTGTGTGTGTGTGTGTATGTGTGTGTGTGTGTGTGTGTTTAAAAACCCTCAATCTAAAATGGGTATCTAGGCCGAGTGTTGGGGCTGACACCTGTAATCCCAGCACTTTGGGAGGCCAAGGTGAAAGGATCACTTGAGGCCAGGAGTTCAAAACCAGCCTGGATAACAGAGTGAGACCTCATCTCTACAAAAAATAAAAAAAAACTAGTTGGGTATGATGGCATACACCTGTAGGCCTAGCTACTCAAGAGGCCGAGGCAAGAGGATCTGTTGTCTGAGCCCAGGAGTTGGAGGTTGCAGTGAGCTATGATCGTACTGTTACAGGAAAGTGGACCCCAACTCTGGGGTCCATACTGAAGGCCAAGCAGGTTCTTGGCTTCATGCAGAACACAATTCAAGAGTAAAGTATAAGTGAGTTTATTGAAATAAACATAAGGAAGCCTTGCTTCACAGGCAGAGGAGCCAGTGGCTTATCTCTCAAGAGTAACAAAAGGTAGCACTTCGTGAGTTTCCAGGGTCTTATTTTACATCTTCTATTTAACAGTATGTTAAGCAGAAGGAGGATTATTCATAAGATTTCTGTGAAAGGGGTGGGAAGTTCCTGAAACTAAGGGTTCCTCTTCTTTTGAAACCATATAGGATAACTTCTGAGAGTTGTCATGGCATTTGTAAACTGTCATGAAACTGGTGGGAGCTTCTTTTAGTATGCTAATACATTATAAGCAGGATATGATGAGAATGAGGGTAACCTGAGGTGGTTTTTCATGGCCATCTTGGTTCCAGTTGGTTTGGGCCAGCTTCTCCACCACCTTCTGTTTTATCACAGACTTTACTTTGAGGCTTATACTCTTGATTGAACAAGGCCCGCTGGTTCCCTGTCTCAGAACCATTGTGCTCCAGCTTGCGCAGCAGAGTGAGATTCTGTCTCAAAATAAAATAAAATATGAAATGAAATGAATAAATCTATAACTTTTTCTCTTAGAACAAGAATTTGAGAGTCTCCAAATTTATATCATGTGTTAGTGGGAACTAATGTCTGTACTAGTGTTGTTGTGTTGATGGTTTTAACTTTAATACAATTTAAATTGCTTTTATTTATTCATTTATTTATTTATTTTTATTTATTTATTTTTGAGACAGAGTCTCACTCTGTTGCCTGGGCTAAAGTGCCGTGGTGTCAGCCTAGCTCACAGCAGCCTCAAACTCCTGCTTTTATGTGTTTATTTTTTGAGACAGAGTCTCACTCTGTCACCCAGGCTAGAGTGCAGTGGCGTCATCATAGCTCACTGCAACCTAAAATTCCTGGGCTCAAGTGAGCTTCCTGCCTCAGCTTCCTGAGTAGCTGGGACTACACATGTGCACCACTGAGGGCCCGGCTGATTTTTTTCTATTTTTAGTAGATACGGGGTCTCATGCTTGCTCAGGCTGGTTTCAAGCTCCTGATCTCAAGTGGTGCTTACTCCTCGGCCTTCCAGAGTACTAGGATTACAGGTGTGAGCCACCACACTCAACCCTGCTTTTATTTTTAGTCATAAATTGTTTATTTATACTCATAATGGTTGCTTTAACACCGCATCATAAGGTTATAAATTACTGAGGTGCATGATACTTCTGCAAATTTGTCTCACAGTGATGTTTATCACTTCTGAGATGCAGTCATCTTCTGTTAATTTTTATGTAGACCACCAGGATGTTTCTCGTACCATAAAATATTTAAAAAGAGAAAATATGGTGACAATTTTATCTAACTTGGCATTTCCTTTATTGTGAGTAAAAACTGCCTGTGCTGCTGATTATTTGAGAAGTGCTTAAAACTAGTAGTTGGAAATTTGCTAATCATTTATTTTTTTTGAGACAGAGTCTCGCTTTGTTGCCCAGGCTAGAGTGAGTGCCATGTGTCAGCCTAGCTCACAGCAACCTCAAACTCCTGGGCTCAAGCAATCCTTCTGCCTCAGCCTTCCGAGTAGCTGGGACTACAGGCATGCGCCACCATGCCCGGCTAATTTTTTCTATATATATTAGTTGGCCAATTAATTTCTTTCTGTTTATAGTAGAGACGAGGTCTCGCTCTTGCTCAGGCTGGTTTTGAACTCCTGACCTCCAGCAATCCTCCCGCCTTGGCCTCTCAGAGTGCTAGGATTACAGGCATGAGCCACTGAGCCAGGCCAAAAGGTAGTATTTTTAAAGTATTACTTTTTAGATGCAAAATGAAAGAATTCCAAATATCATAATTTGCAAACTCTTTTTGTTCATTTTTGATGCTATTTCATAGCCTAATTTCATTGCTTTAATATAAATTTAATCTTCAAAATAAACTAGTTTTCTTCTACACAACTAATTTAAAGTAAAATAAATAGCAGACATCAATTGTTAAATGGAAAATAAGCGTTGCCAGCATGTTTTTATTACAAACTTTGTAAAAATTGTATAAAAATGAATTTTATAATGCTACCTTAATATAGCAATATATAATAAAATACCTCTTCTTTAAAATTACCTTTCTTTTATATATAATGAAAATATAAGATTATTAAAATTCCTTGTAGTTAAGTTCTGATTGGCAGAGAAATAGAAAATGAAAGGTAAAATAAATAAATTAAAAATATAAAATATTTTTTAAAAGACAAAAAAAAATTCCTTGTAGTCCCAGCTACAGGGGAGGCTGAGGCAGGAGGATCACTTGAACCCAGGAGTTTGAGCCTGCAGTGAGCTATCATTGCACCACTGTACTCCAGCCTGGGCAATAGAGTGAAACGCTGTCGAAGGAAGGAAGGGAGGGAGGAACATTCAAGGGTTTTGAAAGATTACATAGTACTATGAAAGGGGGTTGTGAATATAAAAGGAAAAACATTAGATTAATGATTCCTAAGATTTGATTTAGCCCCAGAATACTCTACATACTCCCCAAAGGTAATTTTTTAAAGACCATTTCTACCTAATTCATCAGGTTTTCAATATTTTGATGTGTCAACTGAAGAAATGACGAGGTTCATAAATTTGGAAAGGAGAGCTTTATTTGTCATAAAGGATTGCAGCCAGCAGGGTGGCCATTCTGACATACTGGGTAACAGACTGGGGTAGAAGCTGAGAGCATTTAATTCCAGGGAGAGATGGGAACAGGAATTTATGCTGAGCTGGGCTGGTGAATAAACATGTTTAACAAATTACAGGAGGGAGGAGTCATGAATATTTATGAAAGGAGAAACATGCTTATGCACAATTGAGCTTCATGCCCCTTTGTAGGTTGCATGTACAAAAATGCCTGCATTATCTTGATCCGAGGGTGGAGCTTTGGGCCCTCTGAGATTAAAAAGTGAAGCAGAGGACACCCAAACCTTCACTGTACATCATCCGTAGACTTGTCAGAAGCATTCCACGTAGATG